TGAATCAATGTCTTCCGTCGTGCATAATTAGGTCCCAGGGAATGCTAAATACATCTCAGGTTGCCATATCAGATGTCCTCACAGAATACCTGCCATGTTTGAAGCCACGCACTGCCGCCCGCGCCTGTCCCTGCCTGGGTCTCCTCCTGAGTCAACGCAGCAGGAACCTGAAGAAGGGCAGAGGGGCAGTCCTGCACGGTCCTTGCAATCATACATGAATGTGATTACATGTGTTTGTGTAATCTTATTTCCACAGCCACAACCACCATCATCCATGGCTGCCAAATAACGTCATAGTACCCCTGGCCAAAATCTTGGACCCTGGCTATTTCTTGGCAATCCTATCCGGTGCAAACACAAACTGAACGAATATGTACATGTGTATGTGTATGTGTATGTATGATGTATGCACGTCTGCATCCGAAGCATGCGTGCACCGAGGAACTTCGTCATTACAATGCATCGTACAAGTATCGTGCAATGCTATTGCTTGCCTTGCGGTTGCCTGTAGGTGTGGTGCAAGTACAGCGTATATGTACAGCATGCAGCAAACCCTGCACATACCGCACACAACGCGCATGCAGTGTCGCAACATAAGCTCAACATAGGCTCAGCCTAGCTCCACATGGGCCCCCTTGATGCCCTTGATTAACGCATCGGCCCAAGATAGCCTTCAAGTTGCCCCAACATGGTTCCAAAATACGTCCAACAACGACATATGTCTGTTTTGCTGTGAAATGCGTAACATGCAGAACATCTTGCAAATGCGGAAAATGCGTGTCAACAAAGCTCCAAAATATGTTCACATAGGCCCCATTTACCAATACATCGGCCCAAAATGGCTTCCAAGTTGCTCCAACATACACCCAACATGGATCCAACATGTATACTTTGAACATGGAATGGCAAAAGAATCAATCATAAAAAGGCCATGCGTGTTTTCATGGATTGCTCTGATTCAGTAACATTCGGAAAGCTCCGGATTCAACATCTGTATTAGCTGGTGTGTGTCATCTTAGCGCAGCTGGAAAAACTGATGGACCTCCATTTGAACATCCTGACATTTTGTCAGCCAGTTGGGTGGCAACCTGTGGTGGCAACAATCTTTTACCGTGGGATCAGCCGTCTCCAATTTTGCAGCACCTGCTGACTGAGCAATGCAACTTGCTGGCTTTTTCAAGAATGACCTTTTCCATGTCTGGTACTCTGGAATGGGTTGCGATGTCAGTGCACGTGCTTTGGTCTACTTGCTGCATACTGTTGTGAAAGTTGGAAAAGCAAAATCTCAAACGCAAACTCGATGCGATTCTTGAACGACGAGATGCGGCGCTGCCAGCGAGAAAAAAAAACGAACGTGTTCATTTTGGACGACTCTCTTGGGATTTGTTGGATTACGAAGGCCCCAGAAAATACCCGAAGGGCAAATGGTCCAAAGGACACCATGGGAGCAGTTCATCAACAATAAATTCCGCCACCGGGAAAACAGGGAGCCCCTCAAGCCCCTCAAGCCTGCAAGGAGTTGTACATGTCTCCAACTGTACTGCAGGTTCTCGCAGCCATGGTGGTCTGGCATGGCTGGCCAATCCAACTGTGGCATGGCTGATGGTAGCGGCATGTCATTCAATTGCAACTCGCCCCAGGGAGTGATAGCGTCCGATCCAATAGTGTTATCGAGGTCGTGTCCTTATCCATCATCAACTCATCAGTTACAGTAACCATATAGGATTACGTAGATAGATATAATGACCTGCATGAAGCCATCACCATTGATCATTGTCGCGCTCACAACAAGCCTATGTGATCTATTTTGGTGATTGAGCCCTTTGTGAGTTTCAATTCTTTTGTGGCATCTGTGCATCACCAACCGGTCCGTCCGGAAATCTCGCATCGCTTCTCCCGCCTTGAGGATCGAGGCGGTGATCCGCGCCGCAGCGGATCCTCTGTGACCTGAGGGGGCAGCTGGGCCGTTTCGATGGGTCATGTTCACTGCGCACTGATAAGTACGGAGTCTTCCTGTCCTGCGCCTTTTTGATACCATTCCGACACTAAGTGAAAGAATTCCTATTACACCTTGGAGGTTCCAGGCTGAGGTTGCAGCCGTCCATCACGGCCAGGACGGAGCCGTGAAGGACACCACTGTCATCCATGGTGGGTCTCCACCTGGCGGATCGAACCTGGGGGTTGACCCAAGAGTTTCGATCCGAGTTATCCCAAGGGGAAGTGTCAGAAATGCTGGATGGGTGCACTTGCTTAGCGCAACTTTGGATGTGTGTGGTGGTTTCTTGAAGTTTGGCTGTTGCTTGAAACGACCACTTCTCAAACGCTTTTGGCATTCGACCATTTATACACCTGCCTTTGACGACTAGGTCACGAAGTAGCCCTCTCCCCCATGGTCCCATCGCACCCCTGCATGGAAGCAGACGCCGCTTTCCACGTTGCAGTGGCGTAACTTTCCATGACCTCGTCAGCGACGCCCAGTGACCACCTATAGTTTGGATTGGCTGTACCCAATCCTTCTCCAGCCCGGTTGATTTTCACGCCCGCGTGTGATGCACCATACTATGGATGAACACTTGTGCATTATCCACTTACATGGTTGTGAATCAGTGGCTTAAAAAGCAACTGCCAGGGCTCATCGTCGTCAAACAAAGCATGGCTTTTGACACATCCGAATCACCACCATTTCTGTAACTTTGCAAGGGCATAATGATATAACCATCAAAGTAGTCATTGTGAACTGGAGTTGTGTTGGGGGTACGCAATGCTGAGCCATAGGCATTGTTGTTGTGAATCACAAACAGGAGGCGCCCTGCAGTCCCATGGCATCTGGGCCCAAGGGCTATTTTCGTCTCCGGCTGGCTGCGGGCCCTGGTTCAAGAACCCAAAGTGACGGTGGTTCGGGGAACCAAAATGTTCAACATACTGCTTGCAGTCATGGTAATGGCCACAACCAGCAAAAATAACAATAATAACGGTGATAATACTGTGATGATGATGATGATGGTGATGATGATGATGATGATGATGATGTGGCGTCATGCGAGTGCAAGGCTCAACTGATGTTACTTTGTTTCCTAAGTCTTACTTCTTCAGTGCGGTCTTTTTGCGATTTGATTTCATTCTTGGGCACTAGTCACAATGAACAGTTTGGCAAAGCGGATGATGATAAACCATGTTGGGAATTCATCGGTAGTTCTTGTTCTGATTTCCGGTAATGTGTTATGTCACCGTGGTGACGAAATTGCGCAGGATGATGTGATGAATAATGCCTACTGGATCTTTGATTTCGAATGGTTTACGGTGCGCTCGTGAGTCACTTATGACCTCTCTCTGATCTTTGATGTGGATAGGTCCGAAAAATCCAAGCAATAAGGTCCGGAAGATGAGGTGGAGGAGGATAATGTTGCGGAAGATGAGGTGGAGGATGATGTGGAGGATGATGAGGTAGAGGATAACGATGTTAAGAAGGAGGAGGATAATGATGTTGAGGATGATCATGTTGAGGAGGAGGATGGAAAGGATGATAATTAATATTGCGGAAGAGGAGGTGGTGGAGGAGGATGTTGCAGAAAATGAGGTGGAGGATGACGATGTTGAGGATGATGATGTCAAGGGGGAGGACGAGGATGATGCTGAGAATGATGATGTGGAGGAGGAGGAAGATGATGATACTGAGGAGGAGGAGGAGGAGGAAAAGGAGGAGGAGGAGGAGGACCGATCACAAGACCCCCGAGTGTGTACACACTGTGTGGGAAACTCACGTTGCTCCAGGGATTCTTAGGGGGCAAATGGATATAACTTGATACAACTAATGTGTGCCATGTTAAGAATCCCTGCGTGCCTATGCGTTTTGCTGTAAAGATCATACCAAATAACAAATCATGTAGTGGTTGTGTCACTTCTTCCGCATGGCACACCGAGATGAGACAACAAAGTGCTATCTGAGACAAGAAAGGGCTTACCCCATCATTGCGAGATCGCTTCTTGCGGGGGGGTTCCATTGCCATTGAAACACCAATCAAAGCAATCTTGGGCCAAAGTGCCCAATCATTCGCGCATCTGCTGATCTTTGCAGATTGAATTGAGCTTGTCTAAACCTCATTTTGTAACAATATACCATTCCACCAAAAGCCAAAAGGCACCGCTAAACTCCATAAAAGTAACCCAGGGATTGTTAGGGAGGCAAATGGATATAACTAATGTTTGCAATGTTAAGAATCCTTGCGTGCCTATGCGTTGTGCTGTAAAGATCATACCAAATGACAACTCCATTCCAATGGTTGTGTCACATCTTTCGCATGGCACACCGAGATAACAAAGTGCTGCCTGAGACAACTTAGGGCTTTCACCCAGTATAACTGCTGGATTTTCCATTGCCACGTTTAACTACCGGAGGGTATAAAGAATGAGACCTCAAAAACAAGACTGCTTTGGAGGATAACCCCCACGACTCATTTTGTGATTAGTCTTTGCGGAGTTATAACCCACTCAAAATTGGCAATCCCTACTGCACCACATGGGAGAATCCGAAATGGGGATCGGTATTTGCCCGAAAAAAAGATTGTGGTTTAAGAAACAAAAACGGAGAATTGAAAACATCCAGATTTGATCCTTTAAAAACCAAAAGGAATATATATCAAATATGGAAAGATTTACCAGCAAATCAGACTGTAATCAGTGAGGATGGAGATGTGAAGCAAAGTGTGTGATACGAAATCTATTGGGGTTACAAGCCAGTTGGGGCCTTATTAGTCAGTGTTGAACACCATTTACTATGTACAGTAACCGGGATGATCGTTAAAGCCAGAGGAAAGATGGGGGGCTGACCAAAGATGGGTAGATTTGCGGGTTCGTCCATCAAAATATGATTGGCAACTATTGAAGCATAAAAAGAGATGCATATATTTGACTGCCAATACCGTAAATGGGGAGTCCAGGAAACATGTCATACTGTGACTGACCACCATGGTGAGGACATCGCGAGTCAACCTGAGACCCGCCTGAACTTCGTCGGTTAACCACCAAACTTCAGGGCAAAGTCTTTGGTGCAGTTGCAGGAAACCACTGAAACCCTGCAAGATTCTTGCCACACTCAGCCTCGACACTTGGTGACCATGGTATTCATGGTATTCATGGTGTGTTAACCAATACGGGGATATGATGCAAAATCATAAACAACCAATATGTATATATATATACATATACATATATCATATCATATGTGTATATATATATACACATATATTATATATATTATATACATATTATATGTGACCAACCCATATGACGTCAACTTGGTATGGCTAAAAATCATTCGCCCCTCATTTTAGGATGGGTAAATATCAAGAATAAGCCAACAGATTGTGAGACAATCAGATCCCCCAAAAGGTCACTTCAGTCGCCACCAAGTGTTGAATAATGAAGCATCCTTCACTACACCCCTGGGCACGTGTGGCATTCTACCCGTTCCACTTCCCACATTAGCTTGGCAACATATCCTCCTGTCGCTAATGCAAGTGTTCTCATCAGGATTCCAAGAAATATGTACGAGCAAATGAGGCAGGAATCCATTCTTATCGGTTGCAATTTCATTTTATCCATTCTTGCTGGACAAGACTACCCTTTCCTACCCAAACTGGCTGAAGGATATCATTCTCCATGTATCTCCATGCAGGATTACTTGGAGTGACTACCATAATTCCTAGCAATCAACAGATGTCCATCCCTGGCTGATGGGTTGAGAAACCCTCACATGCCGGTTCTGTTCCCAGTGCTTTGCCTAAGAGACCCCCTGTCAGTGATTCTCCCCCTCACCATGTATGATCTAAGAATCAACATGCCCATCTTCGTAGTTGAATTCCCAAGCTTTCATGCTTCCCCACTTTAAAGACTCAATCATTTATAGTGTGATAAACCAATAAATGCACATGTGTCTGGGTGAAATCCTCATGTTTCATGCTTATCTCGCCATCATTCCTGGCCTCACAACCCCCACCCCCAGTTGCACCAGGCGAGGATCGGCAGTGGAAAGCCCTGCGAGTGCCGCCGCATGGCCAGGTAACTCACCAGCAGCGCAGCGTGCACCGTGGCCCAGTGCTCGGAGGGCAGCGCTTCGGAGGCCTCCGTCTGCCAAATCATCAGTTCGCGCCAGAGGACGCTCCAACCTGGTGACACGAAGGCTTCAAGCGCTCCCATAGATGATTTTCCCATAACCTCCACTAAGGATTTCCTCCCACGTTTGACTTTAGATTTCCTATCAATGATCGTTCTTCAGAGCCTCCAGGTCCAAAGCTACAATGCTGAAAGAAACATACTATGTACTGACATGTAATCTATGACATAATATATGTCGATACACATATCTGTAGGCTATGTACGTGATTATATACTACGTGGCGTCACAAATTATACCTATTTATATATATATATATATAAATAATTATATGTGTATATATCATGTATATTTCATGTGTATATATATATATGTTTATATCATAATACGTCATTTTCAACATATATCACTAGGTATTGCATACATTATATATATAATACATATATATATAATACATATATATATATAATACATATATATATATAATACATATATATATATACATACCCAACCTCTCCCAACTGCTTCTTCCAAGACACTTTCGCCTTCCAATTCCGGCTTCAGCAGATTTCCCACACGTCGTTCCAGGCGTCGCCACCGCTCCACCGGCGCAGTGGCGAGCCGCACCGCTCGCGGTGCCGGGACGGCGAGGTCAGGCCCTTCGCAGCGGTCGCAGCGGCAGTGGAAGCAGTGCTGGCGCCAGAGGTAACGACGCCTGGATGGGCAGAGATGGGCAGAGCTTCACCTGAAAAAATATGGAAAAAATCGGATGTTCAGCTAAAATTTAGCAGCTAAAATTTGGGAGTCTTTACCCACAAGCTGGGATTCAGCTGATGTTTGCCAACAAGAGGGGATCGACGCAATCAAGATACGGGGGGGTATTTAAGCATCAGAATGGGGACTGAGACTATGAGACTGAGACTATGATGACTATGATAAGGGAGTGAGAAAAATGGGAGATTAGCAAAACACATGGGTTGAATTGACAAACCAGTTGGGAAAGAAATGGTGATTTGAACACCAGTTAGCTGAATTTGATTGAAATTGATCAGCAAAATGTGGAGTTCCACCATGGCGGGTAGAACTGACTATACATGACCAACAAAAACGGCGATTTCACCTTTTCATCAAAAACATTGGGATTAACTTCAGCTACAAAGCGAGATTGAACCAAGAAAAGCAGAGACTCAACCAATGATTGTGAGGATGATCAATTTTCGAGCTCATTTTCACTCATTTTCCATACCACCAGTCTAATTTCAGGGAGGGTACCAGGGTAGCATTACAAGTTATAACCATGATAAGCCCGAGGTTCTGGTCTGGTTTGGTGAGAAATCTGCCAAGAAACTGCTTTATTTTAGGAGTCCGGCGTTTTTCTTCAAACTTGAACCAATTCTGGAACCCACAAAAGTGACGAAAGCATGATGGTCACCAAATGAGAGGGGATTCCAAATGGGAAATGATGCAAAGGTGTCAACAATAGCTTTCAGACCTATACCTAGATGTCACCAGCTGCACCCAAGCAGCTTGTCTGCTTGGCGATTTCAAGTTTCAAAAAAGTGTCAAAAAATAGAGTCCATGGGCTTTCAGTCACCATCAAGTGCCCAGTAGCTTTTGCCAAAAAACGAAACGGCCGGCCGCTGGTCCCTGAATTTTGGTCCCACCTGGTCTCGGAGTCTTGAAGTAACAACTTCTCATCGGCAATGTAGCTGATGGTTAACAGCTCCCGTGGCGACAGATCTCTCAGGCTTCGAAGCTCCAGACAGCCGTCTTCCACGGTGTAGCAGTTGGGTCTGCAGGAGTGCGTCAGCTTGGAAGCCCTGGCGCAGGTGTCTGGTTTCGGGGCTAGAAAAAGCTACCCAAATCAAGATCGACTTGGGAAAATGCTTCGAAAATATGATGGAAAATGTGTATTCTGGAATCTTTTTTTGGGATACTTACACCTGATTGTTTGAAGTGTGAAACTGGGTGAGAATAGCATGAAAGCTTAGTAGCCAATTTGATGACCTCAGGCTTCTGTAAGCCATCCCTTTTTGGGGCGTTGAAATATCCCACATTTGAACCTGTCGCTCAGGGAAAGAAAGGATACTCTCATTACCATCCGGCAATCAAACATAGCAATTGGATATCCCCCGTTTACAATTTCGTTTCCCAGCTATAACCCTCCATTTATAGAGGATTTTCCAGCCAGCCACATTTGATTAACAGAGGGTAACGGGAATCTCCATCCCCAAAATCACATATTTAATCACCATAGATAGATCATTATGAATATGTGGTTTAGGATATTTTATCAATACCGATCATGATATGTATTATTCAAATATTTTCATAAACCAAACCATTATTATAGATATTAATATCTATAATGATACATAAACCTATTAACAAACCTATTAATGATATGGCAGTGTGTCAAAACCAATAGTACCCCTGTAGTTCACATCAAAATAGCTGGGATTCATGGATGTTCATCCCCCTAAAAATTGTATTTTCATAGGTATTGATCCATACCCATATTATTCTCCTTGTGGTTGGTCAAATCCTTCAGCGCCTGGTGAAGAGAGCGGCTCCCAGCCCCAGGCGTTGCGCGTTGACGCGACAGACCTGCCTGCGGAAGATTTGGGAAGTTCACCATCCAAAAATTGGGGATTGATCCATGATTTACCCTCTGGTAAACTAACATAGCCATGGAAACTCACCATGTTTAATAGATAAACCATCTATAAATGGGCCATTTCCCATGGCTATGTTAATTGATCCATGATTTACCCATGAAAAATACGGGATAAAAAACCATCGGAACTTCTGATGGATTTGACCATCAAAACACATGGGGATTTGACCATCAAAACTATGGGGATTTGACCTGCCCATATCATGAACTGATGAGGCCTGGGGATCCAATGGGATATTGGATGTCCAATAGACTGCTTACTGTAAAGGGAACATCTTTACTACAGAAACTGTAACTGGATTTTTGCCAACTTTGGGTTTAAACCTTTAAACCATCATCCTGTTGCCCATCTGAACCACCATCGAAACCATCTTCCACCATCGCGATGAGCTGATGAGCAAAAATGATGTGAACCCGGACCTGATAACAATAATAATGATCCACCATTAATCACCAATAATCATTAGACCATGCCGACCTGAAGTGCAGGAGGGACTCGAAATGGCACTCCAGCCCTTGAGCTCGGAGCTCCAGCAGTTCCTCCTTTGTCAAAAGGAAGTGTTCTCGATCGCCTGGATCCACTGCGAACATATTGGCCTGGCCACGTAAACGAAGGGATCCCTGGAATCGTTCCGAATTTTGGAGATGGCCACTCAGATATCAAATTTCCATAAATTTCCTTGATTTCCCAGTGGTTTCCCAGTGGTTTCCCAGTGGTTTGCCAGGTCCCAGTGCTTCACCTCAAAGTCTTCCAGCTGGAAGCGTTGTGAAGGCGTGAGACTCCGCCAGGCTGATAGCCATTCCTGCCTTCGCCAAGGGACATGGGTCGATATTCCAACTGAGAGTCAGCCTGGTTTTGTTGAAATTGGATCTATTGTGATCTCAACAATAGATATGAACCATTCAATAGAATTCCCTATTCATGTTGAGAGACCATCTAATTATTTCTGGGGCTACAGACATATGGGTGGTGGGACCCACAGCCAGCTCCAAAACTTTCTCAACTCGAAGCTACAAGTCCAGCAGCCGAAAATCGAACCGTAAATCTCAAGTTTCTTTGGTTTGGCAAGAAAAATAATGGTAAAAGTGGGTATGGTTCAGAACCAGTGGATCTATCGCATTACACCTGATTTTTTGTGATATTGCCAAATATGTGTAAATACCCACCCTATATGAAGTTAGACCTCACCTATTGCCACATCTCCCACCTCTGCAAATTCTAAAATGAGTCCCTTGATTTCAGGCATGTTCTCTTCACTGTGATAATTCAAGGCCATTTTAATTATGTTATCAACTGATTCCACGTCTTTGCCGATGGTCAGGGGTTGTTTAATGAGGCTTATTGTCATTGTAGTTAATGATAGAAACAGTTGATTGTCCTTATCTATTAATAAATCAAATGTCAAATAATACATATTACTGAAATATGTTTTGATTAAAAAATATTCATAGCATCATTCTAAAAAACAATTGTTGAACTACAATAAGTAGTGTATTATTATTACACTAATAAGATTCCCACGATATATTATTGTGATTGTTATGATTATGATTATTATTGTTAGGACGATTCTCATTATTAATATTATATAATCAATAGAATGACTAATATATATCTATATATACACATCATTATCATTATTATTATCACTATTGTCATGATTATTAATAATACATAAAAGTTATGATATTGTGGGCTTATTAATATACATATGGTTATTGTTATGATTATTATGATGATCATATATTATTATGATCTTATAATGGTTATTATAAATCCCATTAAATCACCATTGGATGACTAGCCCCGTTTTTAATGGTTATTAACCATGAGTATTGACCATAGCTCATATACTCCCATTATTAAAGTTATCATGGCTCCGTATTGCTCCCCTCTCGCCTCAGGAAAAGTTGCGATGGCAGCCGTATTGCTGGCGCCTCCCGCAGCAGCAGCGCGCCTTTTCCGGTGGCGCCTTTGGAGGGCGCCAGCAGCTGACGCCCAAAGGTGGCGTCCCGGTGCTGGTCCTGGGACCGATCTTCAGGATGTGTGGCTTAATTAATGGATTGGTTTAAGGGAAAATCTTAACCGGAAACCCATGGGTTTTTACCATCAAATTGATCGGGCTTTCCGGTTAAAATTGTCCCATCATCCAATTCTATGACTTAAGAATCAGTTGCTGGGGATGTTTTTGGGGCCCCAAAAGAAAGAACTGGCCGAAACCAGCAGGACATACTACCGGACAGGGTTTTACCCCTGACCGGAAGAGATTCACAAGTTGGGATTGGATCTTATGAGTTATCAGGGTTCATCACAAATTGAGACTTTCATGGTGATCACTAAAATAGGTCTCTAATTAGGTGCAAGGCCCAAATACGTTTAGGCTGCGCCCCCCCCAATCCTAACTACCATTTGCTGTGGGCCGTGAAGTTGTTTGAGGTTACTAAAGTTTGTGGGATATATCAAGAAAACAGCGCGAAAGAAAATTGGAAGGGGCCCCGGTCCCCAGCAAATGGTAAGCAGGATCGGTATAGTGAATAGCCTCTTCTCCCGAAATTGACCCTGAAGCCTGACTTTTGGCATTTCCAGGTCAGTTGGCATTTCCAAACCCGGACAGTTCACAAATTTGTCGGGGGATACCTTCCCCAGTTCCCACCATCTGTGAGGCCAGCCGCCAGCTCCAGCTCCAGTTGCTGGCATTCCGAAGGCTGCGACCATAGCTGCTGATGGGCCAAGTGATTCATCCGTTCGTAGGCATCCTGAGAAAAACATAAGTTTGTGAACTAACTGAAAGAAATGAACCTAGAAAATATATAGATAGCAAAAATACCCTTTTCCAATCAAGTTGACAAAGTAAAATGTGCTTTAAAACAATGGATTTTGTCTTAACAAAGGGTACCCCGTTCCATCACTACAGTTCATCATCCTTTTCCCTATCTTTTTCATGTTCACTATAGTTTTTTTCATCCTTTTCCCTATCTTTTTCATGTTCACTATAGTTTTTTTCATTATTTTCCCTATGTTTTTCATGGCCATTTGGGGGGCGTCCCCCATGTTTTTTCACCCATCCTTGGCGCTTCGCAATCTCTGATCCAGACGCTCGCAGCTCTCTGCCACAGTCGCAAGGATGGACCTTGGGGCCATTTTGGGCAACGACCAGATCCAGGTTTCCCTCTGGTGATTTAATGGGAAAATGGTGGTTTAATGGGATTTAATGGGATTTAATGGGATTTAATGGGATTTAATGGGATTTAATGGCACTTACCCTCTGGTAATTTAACATAACTATTGAAAATGACCATTTATAGTGGATTTTCCCATCAAGAATGGTGATTTTCCATAGCTATGTTAGTTTACCAGAGGGTAAAAGGGACCAGATATTCAAACAGGATAATTACGGATAACTTGCTGTTTATCATCATTGGATAATTTATATTTTCATATGGATACTTGGGACCAGTTTTTTTCAAAAGGCTCCGAAACCCATGTTTTGGAAAATTGATTTCAGATAGAATAATAACGATCAACAAAAATTGGGTTTATCATCATTTCCAACTTTATAAGAATGCCAGAAATTGCAGGATACCATGCAACTTCTTGATATCCCATTGCTCGACGTTCACGCCGGCAACGCTTGTCGTGCCCATTCATATGGTCGAATAAAATGACGTGCCACTTTGGATGATTTGGGCGTCCGAAATCTTAGGAGACGGCCATTCTCACCTTCCAAGCGCAGGAAGTCATTTTTTCCATTGCACTGTTGGCTTTCCCGAATACACTAAAAAAGGATCTTCTTTCACAAGGCCTTCTCAGGGTATTCAGGGAAAGCCAAGATGTGGTAAATCCAAGGTCATTAAGCTGACACATTGAGATTTGAGATGCGCCATTTTCACACGCGTCACCATGGCAGAATCCGGTCGACAACACTGCCGCGAGGGGAACTGGGCGGCCACGAAAGTGATCCAGGTGGGTTTCGGCCCGGCTTTTTCTGCGCAGCAATTCGGAGTCCATAGCTTTGACCCTGGAACCACACCATGTTGGCCTCTCATCCCCACTCATCCCCTGGCCAAACATCAGCCAAGGTGTTTAACCACTGGCCGCTGTTCGGTAAGATGTTCCGACCCATCGTCTGATTCCGGCGTGGATCAAGATCTCCGGCGTGGTTTTAGTTGCTTCCATCCCAATGGTTCATCGGTTCAGAAACCCGAGATTGTTCGATTCGCCAGCCCAACGATGTTGGATCATGGTGGATCATCCATACTCCACCTCCTTGCCTACTCCGAGCAACATCAATCGCTCCTCCTGAAAAACCCCTCTGAACAATCTCAAAGCTGGCTTCATCTTCCCAAGTGAGGATCAAAACATAAGAAAACCTATCAGATTATATCAGATTGACCTGTCAATGCAACGCTGTCATGTGCAGGTACACACCGATGCACAACCCCACAGCCAAGTCGTAAAATAGCTGTGGGTGTTAAAATCCTTCAAGAATTGGTTGGATAAAGTTCATCACCTCCGCATTCTTGATTAATTAATTATATAACTTAAGTGAGGATGCATCAAAAAAAAATTAAAAAAAAAAACACCTATTTCCGGGAAAAAATTGGGGATGCCTTGTGGCTTTAAGTGGTTACAGTATGTTACAGTACAACATGACCCAGCTACAAACCACCCAGCTACGCATCGGTCTCAGCAGTACCCCTGAGCCCAGCGACTCCAGGTCCTCGAGTTTCATGGCATCGGAAAGATATCGCAAGCATCAGATGCTACCCTCTGGTTATGTCAAAATAACTATGGCAAATCACCATTGAAATAGTGGATTTTCCCATGAAAAATGGTGATTTTCCATAGTTATGTTTGTTTACCAGATGCTAAATGGAGGTTTCATCTAAGTGGGGATGGGTCAAAACCCTGGTACCGTGCCGTGAACCCCAAGTCATAGCTGGGATTCATGGATGTGAATAACCCACTAAAAATGTATCTATAGGTATTGACCCATACCCAAGTCATTGGACCAGGATTTACTTTTGAAACCCATGGTGACTTAAAGGGATCCCACATTTTAAGAAACCCCCGAAATGATGAAGTCAGTTTCTTCGGTCTCCCTTGGTCTCAACGTTTGATACCATTTGATCTCGATGTTTCGCATAAAAAGGGGTGAGATCCATGGTTTGGGAGTGTGGAATTCGCTTTTACATTGGAAAGGATGATGTCAGGAAGATCTACCCTTATCACCATAAACTAATCAAACTTTCTACTGAGAAAGCCGCGGTTTGGGGGTTCCTTTGTTGCTGAACACATCTGATGTGTCAAAGGCATCTCAAAGTTGAGCTTTGAGCCACCATGAGCCACCATGCAGCGTGGTACTCTAATCCAACTTGCAGAAGTAACGGATGTTTTTTATCGTGTGCTTGGCGATATTTTATGGTTTCTTGGGGATATCGATATGCAGATGTGCATACATGTGTATATACACTTTACATACAGTAATTATACATATAATGCATATATAGATAATCGATCATAAAGATTCAATATAGTAAGATAAAATAGTATAAATATATCAGAATCATAAGTCCATGTCCAATTGCTATTTTCAAAGTTCCAGATTTCTATCCCTGGTGTCCACCGATGGCACCTGCCGCCTTGGCCAAATTGCTGATGATCTCTCGCCTATCCGGCGAAAACCCTCATCACTTTGCAGCAAAGATGGGGTGTTCACCAATAATTTGTTGCAGATCCATTGATCTAAGCAGCAAAAATGAGGATTGAAGCAAGAAAAGCTGGGCATCCACCAAACAAAATCGGAGATATGTTTATATATATATATACAGTATATGATAGTATATGTAATATATATATAAACCAGACAATGAAGTCATTGTGGTCTTCAATTTGGTGCGGCTTCAAAACCTTGGCTTAAGGCAGTTGCCCATTGTTCACAGTAGATTCTGCCTGTCACAAGAAAGGGCTCCAATTAAGCCTTCAAATAGTTAATGTGGTAAGCCCAACCATAAACCATCCCCAAGTCATCACCATTTTTTCTGTGGTACCCTCTGGTAAACTAACATAGCTATGGAAAATCACCATTTTTAATGGGAAAACCCACTATAAATGGCCATTTTCAATAGCTACGTTAGTTTACCAGAGGGTATGTTGATCCCGGTCATGGTAGTTGTTTCTATTGGGTGAATCCCACAATAGAAATCCCCAGAAAACACTACCCTTCGAGCAAAAAAATCGCCAAGCGGCCCCTCCACGCGTGCGAAGTAATCTTCATCGATGAGCAATGGCTCAATCACCACCAAGATCTTGTGGACATAGGGTCGCACCTGAAGTCGCAGGAACTCGCCAAAGGAATGAAAGTTGGGAGGAAATTTTGAACATCCTGGAACTCCTCAGATTTGATTCGTAAGATTTCGCGTTGAAATTCCCAAAAAACATTGGAGACACAGGGCCAAGTTCTTTAAAAATCGATGTTTTGATCCCAACCTGGATCACAACCCAAAACAGCAACAGCTTGTCTGTCCTTGTACCCTAAGTAAATGCCCTCGAGGATCTTTTTCGGACACTTCTCACCATTTCTCAGCAATCTATGCTTTCCTTTCCTGGAAAACAATAATCGTTGCCCACACCACTTTTAGACAAAATGACATCAACTTCCCCTCTGTTCAGCTCGAAAAAAGAAATGTGTCCTGTAGTGTAAATCCCCGTGAATCATCCCATTTTTGCTGGTTCAGATTTTTATCACATTTTCTCCAGTAAATATGTTTGGTATATGTTCCTCCAAATATGTTGCTGCTTCATCTCACATTTTCATACCCTTTTATACTGGTTGGTTGATAGGGATTCCCCTAATGGATTATGATAATCCCAAATATATTGGGTGGTCCCTACAATCATCCATCTACCAACAAGGCTGTCTTGCAGCCACTGCTCTAATATTGGTTTATAGTTATGTACCCCATCATACTATTTCATGGCTCAATATCCCAATATCCCATTCTGCCATTATCCTATTATCCCATTATATTACTGTATATTATCCCATGAAATATCCCCTACAATCAGCCATGTTTTTATTAACACTGACTGTTATGGCTTTCCTCTCGTCGAGGGGCCATGTCATCCAACTTGTAGAGCACACGGTCGATGACCTGCGACGCCACGCGTGCGAAAAATGGTGGAGCGAGGCTGTATCATACACATGTACATATGATATATGTATGTATGTGCGCATATCTATATATATACATTGTATATACATATCACTATCATATCATATTATCATATATTATCATGTATTCTCCGTTACCATAGTATAAACAGTATCATTATCACTATCATATTACGTACATGATAGATATACGTACATATACATGCATGTCTCAGCTAAATGAATCTATGAACAGGTGCATGTAGGTTGTGTAAAAAAAAAATGTATGACATGTAATTGTGCACAATACTCGTATGTATACAAGGATATGTAACCAGCACTTTACGTGTATGTGTTCATCAACAAGAAAATTATATATATATGTATGTATGTGTATAGGATACTCAAGGATCAACAATGACGGGGGTTACAAAGCTGATGTTTCTCCGTCGTGAAGGCCACGGCAAGATCCCAAACAATCCTCCCAAACGAATTCACCAAGGCAAAGTCAAAAAGAAACCACTGGAATCTTGATGACATGGGTATGGATCAATACCTATTAATACCATTTTTAGTGGGATGAACATCCATTTACCAGCTATTTTGATGTTCACCAGGGGTACAAGGTTTTGACACACTGCCACATTAAGATCATCGAATGGATCACATTAAGATCACATTTCATCTGGTGAAACTCTTGGTCCAAATAGCTCCCCATGGCCCTCGGGAAGATCACCATAGCTCCAAATAGCTCCCTAACCTCTCGATAGTCTCGGATCGTTCATTTCTGTCTACCCACTGATCCTTTGCCTTCACCAACAAGTGTCTCTCCTGATCCTCTAGGGTGCTACCTTGGGCGACCAAAGGAGTGGGCATGTTCCGGGAAGCGGAAGTTGGAAGTTTGGAATTTGTCCTAAACTGTACAGTATTATAGTAAACTCAGTAAAGAAGCATGGACCTAATTTGGAGGCTGGCATTGGGTGTACCACATTGGTGAAATCTCCAGAAAAACTACGCCCCTGAAAATTGGCAGTCTGGAAGATCATCCGTTGTTAGGCAAAGCCTGATGGGGAGATTGGTAAATAGCCAACCATACAATAAATTGGCCCTTTTTTTGCCAGCCACAAATGGGCGTGACGGTTTCAACTAAACCTAGCCGAACGTTAGTTGTAACTCCAAAAGGCTTATTAAAGGGTGTAACCGCGAGGGACCCTATTCTTCAGAAGGAAGCAATTCACCAACTGATATGGGAACGTGGCTGCTACATGCTGATAAAATCAAGGAACATCTCAGGATTCTGCGCCACGGTCCCAACTGGCCTAGTGTCCTAGGGGGCCTTCAACTGGGACAAAAAATATGATAAACCATGGGACTTTTGAGGCTTTAAAGGTCCCATCCCAAACCCATCATCTGAGGGTTTTACCTCCCGTACCAAAACTTGATGGTACCCTCCTGTAAACTCACAATCCAAAGTCCGATGTGGAAAACCCATCATTTGTAGATCATTTTCCAAACGGGTTTCCCCTCAAGGTTTTCCACGTCTAAGACATCAACGTTTACCCCAAATTACCCATCAACATCCATCAACTGCACCTGAGTTTGGTACCAAAAAAAAACATGGTTAAATCTACTAGAAACCATAGCTATGTTCGTTTTCCAGGGGTTAATCTTATATTTGGTTCCCAAAAAACCAAGCCCACCGGTTGACCGCCCAGGTGCTCATGAGCAACGGCAGGATCTGATTGAAGAGAGGCCCAGGTCCAAAGCTCCGGGCACCTGACGGCACCGTGGATGATGCCCCAGGACTGGGATTACACCAGCCGGGGGCTGGTCATAGGGGATTCACGTTTAAAACGCCAAACGAAAGCCTGGGTTTTTTTTCGTTAAATGATGTTTTTCATGTGGATGAATGCATTTTGAAGGCTCTATTGAGGTATTTAAGAATAATTGGGGGATAGGATTCATAGCCACCCCAACAGTTGGAACCCTGATTTTGTAGGATTCCCAGAATCCCCACATCTGAAAACAGCCCATGTGTGCGTTCCGTTCCAAAGCATCACCCTGGGGTCGGCCGGAGGGGACATCTCACCCCGGTGAAATCATCCATGTTGAGCTGCTTAAATCCCTTGAGATCTAGAGTTCCAAGATATCCTATTTAGTCCTAATTAGGATCCCAATGTTTCCTTCTCAAAATCCCCATGTTGTTCTTGTCTACTTCGAAATCCCCAAATTGTTCTGCTCAAATCCCCAATTTGTTGACCCGAAGTGAGCCATGAAAAATATCCCTATCCCATCCCAGTATACTGGTTCATCAATAGGTATCCAGCTAATTATGGATAACATGACTATACTAATCTTCAAGTATAACCAATTTAACCCTCAAGTATAACCAATCAATTTAACCCTCAAGTATGACCAATCTTTCTATAATCCCCAAGTGTAAGTCCTCAAGTATAACTCATGGGATCTCAGTGGATTTTACAGCATCTTTCAATGGATTGGTTTAGGGGAAATTTTACAGGAAAACCCAATATTTAACGGTAAAAACCATGGTTTCCTGTAAATTTTCCCTTAAACCAATCCAATGAATCTTGTAGCCATCAAAACACACCACATGAAGACCCATCCCTCTGAGCTGCCCTGGCTGTCGGTGAGCTGCCGAAGGGCGGAACGTCGCATGGGCGGGGTGCCATTCTTCACCTTTTCGGACACAACGAGGCATGTGGACCAAATTTGGAGAATCTCTGATCCAAAATAAGTGAATAATGATGTAGAAATAGTGGCTGAATGTGTAGAAATAGTAGATCATCTATGAATGAAGTAGTCATGAACTAGTTTTAGTTATACCAATGGATGATGGAAAAAAGTGAATACCCTCTGGTAATCTAAGAGCTTGACTTCAAAACTGTCCATGTACAGTAGATAATCTATATGTGAAATTTGGAGAGGGCATCTACAGTAGATAATCTATAACTATAACTATAACGAATAAATTAATCAATTTAATTATATTTAATTATTGCAATGGATGATTTGTATAGTGATACTTTTGGACCGTTTGTGACTGATGGTTGTCATAGTTCCCCAGTAGCAATATTGAACCGTGATTTATGGTTAGGTTGTTTGAAGTCGCTGTGCCTATGTCCAAAGTTCACCAGCTTGGTTTTCGTTGGGAAATGGAACCCAGAGAAATTTGGGACAATCATTCACCTATTCTGGACTGGAATATAAGATAATATAACTGGTTGGTGGTTTGAACCCATCTGAAAAATATTAGTCAGTTGGGATGATTATTCCTAATATATGGAAAAATAAAAAATATTCCAAACCACCAACCAGATAAGTATATAAAGTAATATCAAGTTGGAGCATCCGTAGTCAATACTCCGTGCAGACCGCCGACAACATCCAACAACATCAATCCTGAAGCTCCATCCTGCGAAAGCATCACTATCTGGCGATGGCCGGCGCTTCTTCCTTGATCCTACGGAGCTTGGCACAGAGGCGTCTTCCTGCAGAAGCAGCTTCACTTCGTCCAGGCACATCGACGGCAGCACCGCGCTGCACAATGCTGCAGCGGGATGTGACCGTCGATGTCCCTGGCGGAGACCCCCGTGTCACCATAATTAACCGCTGCCAAATCATCACGACATATCACGACATATCACGACCTGTGGGCCTCGCTTTCTTCTTGGTTCCAAAAAAGTTTGAATATGATTGTTCTTCACAGTCCCGGAGGCGTCTTCCTGCAGAAGTAGCTTCTTTCAGCATCGCACAGCGAGATGTTACCGTCGATGTCTGTACTCCGCCACATGCATTCCGGAGCCTCCGTTGTCGAAGTCGAACTTGTCAGTGCTGCCTGGGGATCCATGCAAACGAGGTGGCACATCTTGCCCACTTGGCAGTTCAGGGCCGCCCAGTAGTACTTTGATGTACTTTGCTTCTTTCTCTTCCGCTGCCTGGTCTAGTGACAAACCATCAGCGCGTTGCCAGGCCGTCTGAATTGTGCCTGGCAACGCGCTGATGGTTTGGAATTGTTTTGCTCTTCCAGCATCTTCTGCTCCATATTCAGGCCACTTGGGCTCTTGATTGCAATACCCAATTTTTGCCGTGGACCTTTCTATCCCTTCTATTAACTGCCGGAGAGTCCAGTTTGAAACGAACAGCGCTCACAGCTCTTTCCACTCAGTAGAGCCAAAAAAAACAAGCTAGTCCATGTCCGGTCATAGTTCTCCTCTGCAAAAATTGGGAAATTGCGCAGCCATTGCAGGCGCAGCCAGTGGACCCGAGATTCGGCGGGCGAAACCAATCATTTTAAAGGCCTTGACTAAGCTTGAATAGATTTGAACACAAGATTCAGCTTTCTTTGCACACATGACATTTACAGCTGGAAAAAAACATTCTTCAAAGGGGAGAAAAAACAATCTGCAAAGCGTCGCATGGTTCGAGTTCGAGTTGAGCCAAGAGGCAAAGAGTGAACAGACATACAGTAAGCAGAGCATCAGTGATATGATTAGCTGATCACTCCCATTGAGGGATGTTCTATCAATATCTATCATCTTCTCAAGGAATCTCAAGGATGAGTAGAATCGGAAGCAGGGTCAGAATTTACTGCATAATTATGCATAATTTATCATATATACATTCATGGACTGCTTCTAAGATGTACAGTCAGCGTGATTTAAGCTGATAAAAGTACGGTATACAATGCCATCCGCCATTGGGGTAGGATACTCTTCAGGCACTGGAAGAGATGGATGGGGCTTCTCCATGGGTGACCATTGGCTTCAAACAACACTATGTATGTGGACAACCAACTGCCACCTACCATTTGGGATGGTTTATACATGTTTATACCACCCATGTATGGAGATTCGTGGATGGCTTACTACTGGATTTACCACATTCATAACTATCATGAACTATATGAATATGTAATAAACTATCCAGTAATAACAAGTATATCATATCAACTGACTATCTATAATATATAAAATAACTCTCTGGCTCAATATAACTATTAATAATACCTATCTGGACCTGTCTACACATGATTGCCTCGCCCTTTCTCCATCACCTCCTTGGCCCAAGGGCAGCCCCGGCGGGTCTGGCCTTCAGCAGAAGTCGCATGATTTTTCGCTCCTTGGCCTCCTCGGGGGAGAGGTTGTCATCATTGTCACCTCGGTGATCCAGGTGATCGGCGTGGGTAAAACTGGCTGCCATTTTTACCAGCCAATGACTGGGAATGGTAAACATACCCACATTAGTTGAATATGTGTTGCCATCCCAGGCAATCAGTGAGTTTGATCTAACCTCAGTGACTGAGTCACTAAATCCTGTGGAAATGAGGTGCTGACCAGCCAGGAGGGGAGCAAAGTACGAATAGTCCTGCAGCCGGATTCCAGCAACGATGACTCGTTTTCTCCGAGAAAAAGGTAGTCGTGTTCAAAGACACCCTTTTTTGTGTGATCTGCACACCAGAGCAGTTGCTTATCACAACCGGCTCCAGGATGCTCCAGGCTCCACTTCTCTCGTGTTTTTTTTTCGCAAATCTGCAGGAAAGCCATGGAAACCCCAGCCAGTTTGACTTGAAGCACCAGCCAGTTTCCATCAGTTTCTACCAATCTACCAATCCACCAATCCACCGATGCGAACCTCTGGCTTGATCATTGGCATTTCACCCACCGCTGGAGAGGATGGAACCTCATACCTCGGGCAATTTCGGCAGAAGCCAAGCCATGAAACTGAACCAAAATCTGTGGCTTCTTTTTTGGCTGAAGGCCACCAACATCGACAAGAAATCATCAGAAATCCGTGAACATCTGATGAAAATCTGAGACCAAAATGGAACAAAACCAGCCCAAAAATCGCTCCGCTGGGTGCTCAACGGCTTGGGCGCATCGGGGTCTTGCATGGAGAAGAAGGGCGTGGCCCCCGGGGTCGGCCTAGGCGCTGGGTGCAAGTTGGATGGAAAGTAAACCGGTCCAGTCATGGGGAATAGCATACGAATATAATAATAATTAATATATAATAAGAATAATATATACAGTATATATATATATATATCTACTGGGATATTTACTGGGACAACCAACTCGGTATGATATTTGGGGGATATTTACTGGGGATATAATTGGGAATATAGTGTGGATCCATAAGCAACAAAATATGATATTATGTGGGCTTGGTACCTGAACAAATTATGGGAGTCACCCCCTTAGATGAGAAAAATGATGACGATCCCTTAGACTTGGTACCCTATGTTCAGACCCATTTTCATGGAATCAATGAAAATGAGGGAACTTCAGCCCCGGAAATGATGGTCTAAGAGACAAAAATGGAGATATTTTACCAACAAGGGGATTAAACCAACCGGGTGATTCAACCAGAGAACAACCAGTTGCCCAATGTGGATATTGAAAGCGGTCCCCGGAAAATCATTCTTCTGGCCAAAAAAAAAGGGGTGCCTGAAAATTGGATGGTTTACTTCTCAAAATGACCAAAATGTGGTTGCCAGCGCTTCAAATTTGACCCATATCCCTGAACATTCTGAACATAGAAACTGCATGAGAGAAATCATGAAGACTGAAATTTGAAAAGGGTATGTTCGTGTCAAGACATGTAAATCGAACCATATGGTGTATCTATAAAAATCTAACTACAATCATGAGTCAACTTGCTTTGTGATCTCTCAAACTTGCCAACAACTAATCACCAGCTTTGCTGGTCTGAGTCACCAGCGGGAAGCCACCGCCCCAGTGAAGTCTTAGTTGCTCCCTATTATGGCTTAACCCCATCCAGAGATCTCATATATCTCCCATCACTTGGATGCTTAAATAACGCCTTCATCCCGTGCCAAGAGACGTTGGGGTGGCGGAGGACAGCACGGACTTGCGGATGGGATTGTAGTTGGCCGGAGGCCTGGCTGTTGCGCTGCCGTTGGGCCCAGCAAAAAAAAACAGGGAGGACTGATCCAATGAAAAATCAAAACAGCGATGGACAAACTCAGCAATTTGTTTTGTGATGCCTCAAATTCACTGAAACTCAACTAGAAATTTGGTTTTGGGGATCCCCAGGGTCCTGCCAAACTCAGGGGTTCCAAAGATTCCAAGACAAGCGCCCGCCTCACAATCTCATAGCCGGTCTGAGGGAAGATGGCATCTAGCTCCTGGACATTCCAAGGTGACCCAAACGTTGAGGTCATGGTTAGGTCATGGTTAAGAAGTGGTTGAGTCATGGTTGAGTCATGGTTAGACTTAGATGAGAAGCCTGAAATTGGATGAAATATTAGGGTCCCAATTGGACGAGTTGAATTGATTTCAAGAGATTCAAGAGCTGAACAACCTGGATCCATCATCTTCGCTGGATGGGACAGCAGCCGATCAATTTGTGACGCATTGAATCGCAACCTGCGCTTCGCACCATCTGAAAAAGAGCAAAGCAACACAAAACGAATCATCTATACTGTTGGTGAGGGGCCACCATCTTGAATCACTTACTGGTGCTAAACGTAGGGAATGAGGGAATGATCCACAATAACTATCAATAATCATCCCATTCCCCCATTCCCATCCGTTCCCTACTGAGCACCAGTAAGCTGTTGGTGAGGGGCCACCATCTTGAACCAGTTGGGTCCATCCAAATCACTTCTGGACAAGCCCTGTTGGCACTCCGCGGACGCTGCAATCTCCTCATCCGTCATGGGAGCATTTCGCTCGTTGATTTCTGCATCGTACCGATACGCCTGGCACCACAAGCTGCACTCACTCAAGGGACCCTGATGACTGGCTATTGTCATTCAGACTTATTCCAACCCTTTGATGGTCAGCCTGAGATCCGACTTCCTGATTCAAAGAACTTCTGAGGACTTCCAAGAGGAAAACCTTGAAAGGAAAAGTCATGTTGGATAGTTGGAGAAAAACATAATTTTGGATAATTAGTTGGATAGTAATGGAATGTAATGGATAATACTGTTGGATAGTTGGCCAAACAATCCATAACACAGTTTCCCACTGGTGTCCCAACAGCCACGTTGCCTGGATCTGCTCTGGGGTCATAGAGGCGAAGTTTGGAGTGAGACCCACTGGGGTGCTCATTCCCGCCATTCCAGGCGTGCCCAACCTCGATACGGTCAGTCATGGTATGGGCTGCTGTGGGCTGGTGGTTCTTGGTCGAAATTTCTAACCCTCCTTGGACTCCGTGCGGAGTATCGCCGAGATTAATTCCACCGGCGAAAGGTGTGGCACCTGTCACGAAGCTTCGGGACATTAAAACCACCAGAAACATTTGCAAAAGTCATCTGAAGAAGGAATGAACATATGATTTAAAAAAAAAACTGAGAACTCATATGTGATATTCTATAACACTAAGGCACTAAAAGGTGTCCTTTAAAAAAGTGAGGACACCATCCATCACTTGCTGGTCTGCTCTTTCGGATGGGATTTCCCATCACCGGCCTATGGATGGATCAGTCGCGCTCGGAGTCACATCTACACCTGGGATCCATAACTGGTTGGTGGTTTCAACCTACCTACCTACCATTGTGGGTAATATACTATTAATAATGGTGAATATGAATGGTTATTATATGGTTAATGATGGTTAATCATAATCTTTTAATGGAGTATGCGGTATAGAACCGATCCACCATTTGTACTGTATATCATGTATATCTGTACTTGGGATGATGCAGAGCTCCCAAAAAATTGATCACTGGGGATGCCCCTTACATATTCTATAGTTGTATCTAGAACATACCATGTCCGCAGAAGCGAAGCACATCCCTAAAGATCCCCAGTCTATCTCCAATTGGGGATGATGTTTCATCATTGTCCAATCATTCTCCCAGAACAGCTGAACTTGACAAGTAAGCCGCTACAGTATGGTGCTAAACAAAAACAACGAAGCACCAATTGGTGATGATGAAAGATGTCCCATTTCAGCTGAAATTGGGGATGATTAGATGTCCAATTGGGCTTACAACCCTACTGTAAAATCATGCAGATTGGATGGTTTAACTCTCGAAAAGGTTGGAAAAACAAACAACAGCACCTGTGGTCCCTTTGGCGTCCATTTTTTTTTCAGCACCCATCCAAGTTTTCCAGATTTATCCCATAAGGATCCCCAACTATTAGATACTCCCATGATTCTCCAACATGATGACATGAGTCCTTTTTTAATTCCAACGATTAGATATTCCCAAAAATTATATATATATATAGTCAATGGCACATCTAACGGGGTAAACCCGATGATAAAGCCAACCCGAATGGAGGTGTATTATTGGGTATATCCCAATGACTGGGATTGTGTTTATTATAACCCCCAGTCGTGGTTTTCTGGGATGGTTTATGGATTAATGGCACTGTGTTTACCACATTTTACCACACTAATCTGTGAAAATCATAATGATTCACTAATCAACTAATCATGAATAGTTCCGACAATTTGGGATAGTTACCCCGAATCTTACCCATCATTCCAGTGGGGTCGCAGTGAGGTCGCTAGAAAATTTACGCAGATGAATCTAGTAGAGAATATAGAAATATAGTTATATAGTTAAATCCCATAAGATCATGTTATTATCATGATTCCATAATATATCCCCGTTTTTTTTTATGCCATATTATATCCCCAAAAATTGGATCATGATCTCCCAGTAGTTTTGATCTTCGTCAGCTGAGGCTTCCAGCTGGGCGTGACATCCACGCTGGGCGTCACATCTGCGCTGGGCGTGGCACCCACCTCTGCATCCTTCTCAGGCGCCGAATCCTGCGGTGGTTCACCGCTTGAAACCCAAAAATCATGGGGATCTCCATGGAAAATCATGGAGATAAAACGTGTTTTTTTCGAATAAAAGTACCCTCTGGTTATTTAACGTAGCCATGGAAAATTGCCCATTTATGGATGGTTTACCTATTACAAATGGTGATTTTCCATGGCTATGTTAAATAACCAGATGGTAAAAGAAACATCATAGGGATAAAACGCCCATAAAAAGGGGGATTTCATTGGGGATTTGACCAAGGAAATTTTGGGGATAATGGGATATAAGGGGGTATACTAGCATACACTCGATAGTAAACTACCCGTTTTGTGGATAATCCACAGCCGAGACCCAAACATCTGGGGATGATAGAAACATAGCAAAACTGAGTTGCTACAGTACCATATGACCCAGTCGTAATGAAGATGAGTGGTTCTGAAAGTCCTCCGTGCCTGGGGTTGTCTTGTTTAACAAGTGGCTTACGATCATGGCTACTATGTCACATTATGTCACTGGTTGCCAACTGGAATTGGCACTCAATGGAACAAGTGGACCCCAACTCATCCTTTCTTACGTTTTACCTTGCAGAAATCAGTTGCAAAGGTATCTGCAGCTAAAAATCACGAACCAAACGGAATGTTTCACCCTTTTCTTGCTGATCTGCCACGGGCAGACATAATCCTGGGGCCCCAACCCATCTGGCGCGCTTCTTTTTGCCCGCGGGCATTGGAGTGTCACCTCAGCCGGGGGTCCTAAGGAAATTGATCCCCTTGAAAGAAACGAACATGATGTTCTGGTTGGTGGTTGACCTACCCCTCTGAAAAATATTAGTCAGTTGGCATGATGAAATTCCCAATATATGGGAAAATAAAATTCATGTTCCAAACCACCAACCAGTGTTTGCCATTTTGCTGCTTCCCATCTTGGATTTCTGGTTTGAGAGCTCTGGGTGATACTCCCTGCTGAAAGCATTGGCAACTGACATACGATACCCGTTGCGCTGGCACATTTCAATAGTCAGCAAGTCTGTCCGAAAATTCTATGACCCATCTGGCAAGTAGATCAAGCTGGGGTTCTCGTGATCTGTAGCACCAAAAAAGAATTTTCGTTCAACTCAGAGGTGTCTTCCACTGTTCATATTTGAGAGGGCTGTTCCGCTCAGTGGGTATATGGCCATAACTTTTTTTGGGTTCATGTGGTAAATCCCAGTTACAAACATCCAAAATTTGGTGTTATTATTCGATATACCCTCTGGTAATTTAACATAGCTATTGAAAATCACCATTTATAGTGGATTTTCCCATTGAAAATGGTGATGTTCTATAGCTATGTTAAATTACCAGAGGGTACCGCTATGACTGGGATTATAATAGCCTACAACTGGTTGGTTCCTCAGATGTTCACTTTTAAGTTTACCACACTCTATCCCAACTTATGGTGAGCCAGTGACCATGGATGTGGCCAGTAACCCAACTGCACACCCAAGCAGGAGGGAGGCATATGCAGTGTTCAAAAGCCTTTGTCAATCTGTCATACCCTTTGTCAATTTGTCATTCCATTCTTTGGTTACATATGGTTACATGGGATTTCCAGTTCATGGATTTTGATCATCCAATATCATCCACATGTTATAAAAACGGGTAGTCACTAATACCCTCTGATTATTTAACATAGCCATGGAAAATGGCCCATTTATAGATGAATTTCCCATTAAAACCTCCATTTATTTTGGGAATTTTCCATGGCTATGTTAGTCATAACCAGATGGTAACCCCCCAACCAAGTTTCATCAACCAACTCAGCCACTGTCGAACCAATGCCACTCTCAGCGCGGCACCCCATTCTCCAGCTTCAGGAGTTTCACCGAAGTCATCGCCCTGATTTTTCCAGGGGTGTACCCCTGATTTTCTCACGCTTAAAATGGCATTGGTGAGGTTAAAATAGTAGTAAAATAGGGCTTTAAATAAGATGTTCAGAGAACAGCAAATTTTGTTGTTCATCTATAAATGTGCAGTTCAAAAAGGAAGGCAACCTGCGCTGTGGAGCTGTATTTGACAACCAAAGCCCTTGAAATTTACAGCGGAGCATGTTCAATGACCAAACATCACCCTCGCCCACTGGGAAGCTCATCTCTACTACCCAGGCGTGATATTTGTATAGGGTGAAAAACATTTAAGCCCATATCATGTCACGTCCTATTTATTTGTATCATATCATGTCCGATTTCTTTGATTCACCGCATTTTTTGGCGTTAGTATATACTGTGTATATATATATACACTTATATATAGTTCAGATACTTAACCTTATAATCCACTCATATCATATATATATATCCACTCATATATCATACATAGTTCATATCCACTCATATGTCTTGGTGGTTGAAATCCTAATTTTTCAAGGCCTCATCGTCCTTCTTCTCCGCGACAGGCCTTGGGGTTCATCGCAAAGCGACGTGACGAAATCAGGTTCGTGTCACCAACCGCCATGTGCGCAAGCTGTATATGTATCATGTATCTTTGAAGTGGCATGTGATGTGCATGTGTGTGCATGTGCAACAAAAATGCTTGTGCATCTAGAGAGAGAGAGAGAGGGGGGAAAAAAAATGAGGGCGAATTAATGTATGGACACATATACATAATGTTCAATTGGTATAATATTTATGGTGTACATCATGTCTATATATATAATATATTCTATACTATATCTATATCTATGTCTATATATATATATTATATATATGCACACACACACATTGACTCAGCTGTTCCACATGTTTCCACAGCTGGACAAATTAGGTCCCCGAGCGTATCGGCCACATCGCCTCCACCCACAGGAGTGGCCTCAGCCACGCCCCATGAAATCGGTAAAGGTATCCTTGGATCAAAAATGAGAAATTGATAATAAGTTAATATCCATGCCATGTTGGAATGATGAGATTTACATAGATTTACAGAATCAAGCATCCTTGGGTGTGAAAATTTTGGGTTTTATGACTAATGATTTTGTATGGGAGCTTTGGAAAGTCCCTGGCAACCCCCTAAAAAAAGTCAGTAGAACAGTTGGCAAGGTGGTAAGAATCATCTACATCATCCTGGAAAACACCATATCCTCTTGGAGACCCCTGTAGGTCTCATGGATTGTGAACGTCGACTAAATTTAGGTTTGCTTAGTTTTGACCCATACCCATTTTGACTTCTGTGCATATAAAGTGTTGATATTAGGGGATATATATATAGTTACTTACATCAATGATAGCATATTCAAAATAGATGCAGTTTCCCAACAGGGTCAAGAGATGCGTTCATATAATGTGTGAAACTTTGGTGTATACAACCAGAAATGATGGATGATTCGGAATTTCCTAGACCTTGGGCACCCTGAGCATCAGCCAATTGAAGGATTTGGTGGGTTCAACATGTTGAAAAAGCCACACCAAAATATCCTCGTCACTTCTGAATGAATCATCCCAGTCCTGTGGCCGAAGCAACAAACAGAATGAAGGAGAAAATGGTGGATTTCCCACTGTTGCGGAGTATGTTTTTCGAGATTTTCCCAGAGTTTGTGGGGAAAAGTGGTGATTTCCACGGAGGTTTTCCCCGCGTTTCCACCGTTTTCCACTGGGGCTTCGCCACCCATCTGTCGCCACTTTCCTCGGAGGCCTTGGACGCCTTGGCTTCAGCTGCCGCCTTGGCAGCTTCCTCCTGGGACAGTTGGTAGTAGGGGCCCACTGCAAGAAAAACATATGAAAACCACATGAAAACATATGAAAATGCTCATCTTGCAGAGTGATTGATCTGAAAATCAACCAGCATTTAGGATGGTTTCAGAGTCTCAGCGAGATTTTGACTGTGTTTTTTCTAGATACGGCAACACTGGAATTGGTCTAAATTGGATACCATAGCCTGAGATCTCAGTATGACAATCGCCAATCTCAGCACAGCACTAACGTCGCAAATGAGCCATTGGCTGTGGTCTAAAATCCAGTATCCTCAAACTTGGATGGTTGAATACTAAAAAATCACTGTTGATACTGTTTCCTGTTATCCTCTTGTACACCATGCCCCTATACTCTTCCAGCTGCTCTACATAATTATGGCAAATCTTAGACGCCCTGCTAAAAGACTCAATGTTGATCAATACCACTGCACCATCAAATTACGCACAAATGATCTATGAACTACCCTTCAAGAATTGCGCCCATATGTTCCTAAAACCCATGGTGACTTGGGGTACCCCCATTTTAGGAGAACCCCCATATTGTTTCGTGGTTCCCTTGTTGTCGCTGAACGTCCCCCCCATGGGTCGCGCAACACCACTGCCGCGCACCGTTCGTCGCTTCTTTGCCTCTGGATCCTCCTCCAAAGGTGTCCAGGGCGTTCAGCGGGGGTTAACCCCTTAAGGAACCACTGCTTTGGTATGGGATCTATATATTTGGGGTCCAAGTTAAAAGGGGAAAAGATGGGAAAAGTCAACATGATTGGGGGGATTGGATTGCAAAATGGGATTGTTTAAATCAAAATGCCTACGCTGGAAACATCCAAGTAAGAGAAATTTGTGGCTAGGGAATGGCATTTGTCGTGACAAAGATGGTGGAGTTGAAACAAGGATTTGACCAACAACAATTGGTATTTGCCCTGGGAAGATTCGCCAACAAATGAAGTTATATATAACCAGCCATGGGATATGGAGAACCAAGAATGGTGGATATGTGCCATGACATGGGGTCAGAACCCAGTTGCAAATGGGACAATCCAGTTGGGGGGGACTTGGCAACCATTGTTGTGAAAAAGTTACTAAGTGGCATGATCCTACGGGTATGGGCTACCAATGGACCCACAAAAGGCTTGGGATTTTGGATGTGAACCATCCATTTTGGTCGTTCTCGTTCTGTGTCTGCCTATCTTCTGTTATCTGTTTGTCCCATTTATCCGATTTATCCCTTTCCAATCATTTACAGTAGGTGTCTCGGTATAGGATTGTTCAGCCATTTTATCGTAGTTTTCATGATGATAAACTTTGAGGATGCAATGGGGCCCCCCATGAAAAAGATTCACCAGCAAGAGTGCCCATCAGGCAACCCCCATGAATTGGGTGTTTCTAAAACTGAATTGTTTGATGACAAACCATTTTTTTAATCAGGCTTTCATAGAAATATCATGAAATATCTATACCCAACAATACTTGGGATACCAACCACAAATTTCTTCCCCTGGCAATGGAGCCTCCCGGAGCCTCTGGGACAGCTTTTGATCCATTGAAAAGTCTACCCCTATAATATAGGTTAAACGGTTAAATCCACACCCATCTCCATTGACCCCTGTGCGGTCCTTTCCCTCAGCCTTGGCTGTGGCTTCTTCCTGGCGCAAAGTCAAGCAGGCTTAGGGCCTAAACATGGACCGTTGTAGCAGGATGGCCTTAAAAATTGGAACCCAAGAATTTGGAAAACAAGTCTTGCAGTTTCAGGGCGTGCAAAATTCCGGGATTTGCTTTTTCTTTATTGGAGGTGACTGTAAGTAAGTTTCAAGAGTCATCTGGTAACTCGAAGAGCCTACAGTACCAGAAACGAGTCAGGATCCTTCCAACAGTTCTAGCATAATCATGTTGGATCTCAAAAGGTTCCCACACGGCACCACCCTGGACAGTTCCATCCGCTCCTCCTTTTTCTGTTTGATCTTCTCAAGGACCTCCTTCTTCTCTTTGTCCAGTTGCTGGCCAACCATCACATCCTCAAAGAGTAGTGGAATTACCACGGGTAGAAAGCTGATCTGATTGAGCCAAAAAATCCTGACAAATAATCTGAAGAAAAAAGGGACTTGCACAAAGAAACTAAAAACGTGGACCGATTTTTTGGGAATTTGGAATTCGATTGTTGGGTGATGTTGAATTCGGACACTAGGGGGGGTTCCTAAAATAGGGGTACCCCCAAATCATCCAAGTCATTCGACCATGTTTGTTTCTATAGTGACCTGGGGTTTCCTCATTTTGAATACTTTCAGAAACCCCCATTTACCAACCCCTGAACTGATGACCTCACCAACTGGCTTCACTGATGACCACTACCTTGACCTTGGCTCGGCTCTGAGTTCCCCCGGCTGCATAGGTAGACAGCTCTGGTGCCGGGGTGGAATCGGCGAAGGGGTCCGCGCGGTCCGGGGAAAGCATCCGCTTCTTTCCCTGCCTGGTGTTGCGGGTGGGGCCGGGGGGTGGCTGCATTGGAGGATCTCAGATATCCAGAGAGTGAAGTTTTTGGTACCCTCTGGTAATTTAACATAGCTATTGAAAATGGCCATTTATAGTGGATTTTCCCATTGAAAATGGTGATTTTCCATAGTTTTTTGTATGTTTACCAGAGGGTATCTGAAGAATGGTTCCGGAGGTTATTCCGTTCTGTTTGGCTGCATGTTGATAGGTACTTTGGCCTTGCCACCTGGGATAGTCGTTGCATTTTTTTGCGTGGGTAGCTAATGCCCTTATTGTTACAAGATTTGGGTGAAGGTGGTGAAGGTACCCGACATGTTACAGTAGTACATCTGGCTTTGTCTGAAAACAGGCCACGCCAAAATCAATCACACTTTTGAGAAAGTCATTCCCGCATTCATAATTGTCGGAAAACTAGAGGGGCCTATTTGGTATACCATTTGCAATCATTTACCTGTTGGTTCTTTCGCGGAGGGGATCCCTCTGTTAACCAATCAACCAACCAGTCAGGAACGGGACGTTGGGCGTGTCTGACAATGATACCACAAGAATAGCCACATGCTCATAAGAAAATGATGATTCAGCGGTGCGTCTAGGGCTTTTCCCACCAGTTCCAGACAAACCCGTATCATAATGTTGGTCTTACTGTATATCCCATTTCATCCCCATCAAATTATCCCTATTGTTCATAGTTAAACTACCATGTTCCCATCATATTCCCAGTATACCCAATATAAATATCCCTGTAGATACGCATTTTATGCCCATTCTTCAACCGAAACAGCCACCTGGACATCCCAAACTCCTCTGAGGCCCCAACTCCCTGTACTCATCCTCAGAGCCAACAACATCCATGACATCTAATGTTGATGATCTTTGTATAATAACCATACATGTCAAGGCATACATATGCCTATGTACAGATGTGTATGTATATATATATATATGTCTATATGTATGTATGTCTATGTATGTATGTACAGATATACATCTTATATACACATGTACTCGATATATATATACATACAGATACATGTGTAATATTTCTGTATACATATATATATACACACATGTACGTATATTTATGTATATACATATACGTAATATACATATTATACATGTATGTATATATATATGTACATCTGTGGATGTATATCTTCTTGTGGTTGCCCACGAATTTGATGATTCCATGCTGATCTTGTTTGATGTCAACCACTTGCGTTCAACCTGTGGGTCATTTCATTGGGCACAAGGGTTGGCTGTGACCATGGCACAAATTGACGGAACTGAGATGAACTGAGCACGCTGCTCCTTCCTTTTTGTCCTTGGCTAAGTGGCTAAGCTTTCAAAAGAAAGCGTCTGACTTGTGCTCTAAAAGATGGACATGAGTTACTGTCCATTGCAGATATCATTTTGCCATATGAATCCATATGATGTTTGTTTCCAAGAGGGCGGCTTGCCCTCCTACAAGCAAACATGAAAATGGGTTTTAAAAAAACTCACACACTTCCCTAATACTCCCTTCAAAGTGAACGTTTCCCATTGCCATGTGTACCCAACCGAACAACGACTGGCAACTTCACCATGGCAGCCAGCTGTTGCGCTGGATGCTGGGCCACCGGACCGCCATGCTGAACTGCAAAATCTGTCCTCGGCCGAGGACGTTTCGATGCGAAAGGGAGTCCTTTTGGCAAGGAAAAAGTGAAAGAAAGCCATAGGGCAAGATGCCTGCCTATCCCACATCATGCATATATCTACATACTATGCGGCCGAGTAAGCGAGATTGAAAGCCAAATACTCAGAACGACAAAGCTCGACAGAGAGTTTGACAGGCAAAACTTCAATTGGTTGGTGGCCCAGCAGTCAACTGATTAACCACCATTAACCACCATTAACCACCATTAACCACCATTAATCACCATTTAATCCCCAGTCACCTATGTTTAATCAGCCTTTCAGCATCACTCGGCAAAGATGATGCCCATCCCTCCACGGCATATCGCTGCTTTCCAAGTCGCCCAGGCCGCTAAATCTACACGAAAAATGGCGCGGAGCCGGTGGCGACAGAGGTCCCGGTGGGAGACTTACATCAAACACACAGAAAGTTCCCCTAGGGTAAGCTAACATAGATGTGGAAAACCCATGGTTTCCCAAGAAAATCGGCCTAACAAATGGTTGATTTGTTCCACATCTATATTAGTTTACCCTAGGAGATACTGGTCATTTGGGGTGAAAACATCGTAGTCGTAGTGTCGTCCCCTTTTGACTGCATATGAACCTGTTGTTGGTTATTGTATTGGTTACATGCTCATCAGGTCCAGGCATTGCTGATGTGTTTCCATTGCTTCCCCCGAGATTGTCTATCTTCATGCTTACATCGGTTCAATATCCGCAGTTGCTGTGAATGCTTACATATAATATATGGTCATATGGTTCATTATGACTTTACAATTATTTATACATACATTCTCATACATGCATGCATATGTCTATCTACGTAATTACTACGTACATACGTCCATTGATGTTGTGTGACTGAATGGTTGGGATCCAGCGAAGGAGCCGCACACACCCTTTTTCCGACGGTGCGGCGGTCAAGCCGCGCGTTGTTGCAGTCTTGCATCATGTTGAAGCGGAATGGCTGCCATGTGCCCAGTGGAGCATGTCATCTGATGGCTGAATAGTCTGGGTACAAGTAGATAGTTCTTCGTGGCATCAATAGGTATGTAGCTAGAACAATGGTGTTAACACGAACAGATGGTTCTTTTACAATCATGGATCCCAGCAAATCTCACAGCTGGCCTCCAACTGGATACGATCTCATTGCGTGAGACACACCTGAAGTGGTACCCTCAGGTTGTGAATTAGTGAAACTGCCCACTCCAAGCTGGTGACACCAGCTGGAATCGCATCACTCAGCGACGCGTGCCACCTGCAAAATGGCAGACCAAAGACCTGGACACTGGGGGGGCTGCCGGCTGTTCCGGCTTACATTTTAAAGAACTTAACAACTGTGAGGCTTGCTCCCAACATCCGGGGTCCCCGCAAGACAAAAATGTTGCGCGCTAGATGGATTGAATTCCTGAATGATTTAACTTCTCGGAATCAGTTTGCCATAGGTCGGAGCAACCCTGACTGTAAGACCTGGGGATGTCCATCATGCTGAGCTCGTGCCTACATCTTCACCATCTCGCGATCATTGCGCTTTGTAGATCATGAAGGCAAACCTTGGGAAAAACTGGAAGAACTGCTGGTGTGAAAACGGCAGCCCAAGAAAAAAACTCTCTTTTATGTCTCTTTTTGGGTGTTGGGAGTTGGGCCATGAACATTAGATTTTCACTACTGCAACGATCGTAGTACCAATGGATAATCTACTGTACAAAATACCTATGTAACCAATGTATGACTATACTTACCCACATGGCCCAGCATAATTTATGGAGAAACAGCCAATTCACCATGGAATTCTTCATGACGGACAGAAAAAAAAAACTGAAGCTGCTAAGTCGATGACTGGTCGACATAGAAATACACCTTAGCCAAGAGCTGCGAAGTGTTCCATGCAGCGAACACGAACAAAAAGCTCTGTGGGGGGTGTCTGCAAATTGGCGAAAAAATTGGGATTCACCCAGTGCAACCATCCCCAAACTGTTATGGCATTGGCTTTCCCACATAACTACCAGTATTGGCTAACGGATTTTGGCGTACCTGTGTATGTCATAGCTGATGAGATGATGAAAGTGTGAAGCAACTCAAAAAAGGGTCGTCGACTCTTCCACAGTGCAGCTGTGCACGGCCGCTTTTTGTTTTTCATCATTCAGACCAGACCACCAAGATGCCTGCCATCGCTGTGCGCTCGGTACTGCTGTGAGTTCCAACATGCTTTGGCTATAAAATTGACCAGTGCCAAAAAATGCCCAAAATGTATAAACATGTATAAACATATGCTGCTGTAAACAGGTTGTCGTTCCGTTCTCGGCTGTTTCATGTTGTTTCAATGTGACTCATCAAAAAACTTACTGGTGCTTGGTACTGGCAAGGCATCACATCCCGGCACCCACCTGTGTTTTCTTTCAGTCGCTGAACGCAGGTGGGGAGCTCCGACAGTTTGGTCGTCTGCAAATGCAACTCCTGAAAGCCCACTCAGTGGGATGTCGTTCCGCTGGTGGGGGCTTCCTTTGGGCGGAATCTGAACCACCACTATCCACCAATATCCACCAACCAAGAATGGCGAATCTTAAGCCTCTAAGATCCTCTAAGATATTGAGGCTTCCTTTGGGCCTTGGTTGAATCCCCCATCACTGGATGATCCAAATACCCAGGCTGTGGCAGGTCGGCTGTGGGGTCGGCTTGGTCAAAACAAGCATGGCTTTTTTTGGGGCAAAGATGGGGGACCCAAGCTGTGGAATCTGGTCATCTTTCACAGTGATCCATCCAACTAGGGGTCCCATGGGGTCCCAAATGATTCAATGAAGCGCTGAATCAACAGCTCACGCACAAAAAGAAGCAACCCAAAACTGGATGCGTTGAGATTACCAATGACCATGTGCAGGAGCCATTCCCAAATAGCACAAAAAGCACAACAGCAATTGCTTTTTCGCTGTCATCGTCCTCTAATGCTTCAAGGGCCGACATGCTCTCCGGCAAAGTCTCCAGAGGGTTGAAGCTCAGGAAGAGTTCCTTCAACCATCGTTGGGATTGAACATGCAATGGCTGGTTTACGAACTCATATTTGATTGTGGGGGTTGTAAGAATGATAACAACAATTACAACCAGAAGAATAATAGTAGATAAATTAATAATGATTACAATAACAATGACCACAATGACATTGACAATAACAACAGTGGTGATTCCCAAACTGATGCAATCTACAACCTACGGGATTCAAAATGATAGGATTTTGTTCAACAATTTTGAAGAGAATTCTTCTGATGGCTTCAGGGTCCGAAAAAGTCGAGATGTACCCTGAACAATGCACTTGATGTACTTCTATTTGTTGGGGATACCATTTATCGATCAATAGAAACAGGTTGAGTCGCCAGAGTCTACCTGGAGATGTTAACCTGCTATACAGATAGCAGCTCCATTTCTCTTGGATATACAGAGGATATACAGATATACTCCAGGTAGACTCTGTGTGTGAATGTGCACACATAGTGTGCGCACAGACACACCAAATTGAAAGATGGACGGGTGCATGGATAGCTAGCTAGATAGACTAGATAGATAGATGATATATAGATGGATAGATATACAAATAGACAGGTGGATGGATTTATAGATAGCTAGGTAAGTAGACAGGATTATAAGTATATAGATAGATTTGCAGACAGGCAAATAAACTGAGATAGCCAAATTCATCAAACGCAAGCGCACAGTATCCTTCAGAGACTTTAAGGATAGAGGTTGACTCACTGTATTGTTCAGAGCTAAACCAGAATTTCGCGGATAACTTGACTCATCCAATTGAATCATGGCATGTCCCAAACCTGAAGACCATGAAATTGGACTATACAGTCTCCTTTTCGGACACTCCAGGTTTGAACCTCTGGACTATGAAAACCACCTTATTGACCGGAAATAAATAGGGCATGAAATTCATCTACAAATTGAGGATTTTCGGTTGCCATGATTGCCGGAGGGCATAGCCATGTTCGGGATTCAGATGATGTTCCCATTTATCACTTCAGCCATGAAAAAACTGTTATCCCATCCAATTACACCGCTTGGGTTAGAGTGGGTCAGTTCATACTCCCCAATAAACCAAGTAGTGTAACTAAATTTATAAAGACAATCCAACCATCAACAAACCACCGCTTGTCAACTAGTCAACTATATCCACATGCTTAGCGGTTGAATGCCCCATTTAACATCATGTATCAATAGTATCCCAAAATGTGTTGCTAAAAAAAAAACTATGTGTTATCACCAGTGAATATCTGTTATCCATATCAATCATGGAAAACCACCCCCATATTGATGTAATTCATCAACGTTATCAGAATAAATATTGGTTTAAATAATTATATATATATATACACCCTCTGATAAACTAACATAACTATAGAAAATCACCATCTTTAATCGGAAAACTCACTATTTCTATGGCCATTTTCAATCGCTATTTTGACATAACCAGAGGGTATATATCCTGATATAAATCCTGGTTGAATGTTTGGGTACTATATAACCATTGGGTTTTCAATAACCAGTCAATCACAAACCCTTCAACGCCTTCAGCGCCAGCAGTTGGCCGATGCTCTCAGGCAGCTCTGTCAAGTCATTGCCGGCCAAACGAAGCCTCGTTGCTTCGCCCAAACGAGACCGATATCTATGGCTATAAGATGGCTAATACCATGGGGACAAATGAGAATATGATGGGAAATGTCACCAACCTAAAATATGTTACATACATATATATATAAAGATGCATTTGACTCTTTTGTTCCACTTCGCAGCTGTTTAGTCAATTATTTAAAAGAGAATAGAGACCCTAACTTGAAACATCACTCCTTGGTCCACCCAAGACCTTCCAAAAAACATGCTCTTGCCGGGCCAGACCCCTGGCATAGAGTGCACAAGCCTTCCGTCTCTGGCTAAAGTGCCGAGCCTGGCCTCTGGCCTTTAGATCCACGAGACATCTAAGATGTTTCAGTTAGGAAAAAATAAGAAAATGAACGAAAACCCGGACAGCTGAAAGAAAAGGCCTTTTTTCGGCTCTTCATGGCTCTGCGTCTCACAAACCTACCCCCCCATCAAGGTCAAGCCTCGGGAGGGGCAGGGTGGGACTTGAACCAAAAAACACTAGGGAACACAGAATTCACCTGCATCTTAAAACCCGGGGGCGGAGGTCTAAAGATGCATTTGACTCTTTTGTTCCACTTCGCAGCTGTTTAGTCAATTATTTAAAAGAGAATAGAGACCCTAACTTGAAACATCACTCCTTGGTCCACCCAAGACCTTCCAAAAAACATGCTCTTGCCGGGCCAGACCCCTGGCATAGAGTGCACAAGCCTTCCGTCTCTGGCTAAAGTGCCGAGCCTGGCCTCTGGCCTTTAGATCCACGAGACATCTAAGATGTTTCAGTTAGGAAAAAATAAGAAAATGAACGAAAACCCAGACAGCTGAAAGAAAAGGCCTTTTTTCGGCTCTTCATGGCTCTGCGTCTCAGGGTCTTACCACGTCCCCCAGGTCTTCCAGTGGACACTGGAGGCTCAAGTGTTGTAAAGTTCAAAGAGTGAAGAGTTCTTTCAAACACAGCTAAAAAAGGTTTTAAAGAGGGGTGTGACGATGGCAAATTCATTGAGGCTAGCATTGCTAACCCTTCATTGATGTAAATTCTGGCCGTTCGCTGTGAGGCCCATCGGCCCTGAATGAGCAACCGATCCAAATTATGTTTAGAAAACCAGTAGGTTGCGCCCCCTCTCCTGAGGGAATAGGGTCGAAATTGATACTCATGGAGATTCAACGCCTCAAGGCATTCATTGAAAAGTTTCCGCCATTGGCCTGATTTTTTGACCATTGGCGTGGTTGGTAAGGCTACATGTTTCCATTGTTTCACTAGAAGAACAGCGGCCTCATACCCCAGGATGACACTTTCAGCGGCCCCTTGTCGTTTGCCACCCTTGGTCAAACCGAGACTCACAATTACTTGTTTGTCTTTAGGTCCACACATCAAGTGAGCAGATCGAAGACCATGCACTTCTCCGGTCCTTAACATGGCAAAAAACCCGGTCAGAAGAGATACTCCAAAGGAATAATGGCCCTTAAAGAACGCCCACCCCGCCATGGCTTTGACCACGTGTTCAGGTAGTGGTGGTGCCCTTGCAGGTAGCTCATTAATAGACCAGGTCTTTAACAAGCGCCAAGCACCCGGCAAGTGATGCCTCAGATCAGGTTGTAAATCTTGAAGTCCGGCCAAGGTGTCATTCGCCAGCGCACGGCCGGCCCCACTGCTCCATAGGTGCTCAATGTAATCACAGAGCAGTCCATCTAGTTTTTGCTTTTGTCTTGGGAGTTCAATCTGTGCAGAGCGCAAATACGCAAAGAATCCCTCTGTGGCTGCTGTATAGCGGCGCTTGGTGGCTGGTTGCATGGTCAGTTCCTTTAGGCTTCCTAATCTACGGCGTTGAGCCGCCCTGTCCTGTGGCTGTATGGCTTCCAAAATCCTCTTACGAGGCATGACGAAACTTGGTTTTAACCCGCCGCGCCCACCTGGAGGGACGATCGGCTGGGTTATCATCAGTGTGGACGTAAGACCACACTGCTTGGACATTACTAGCCAGGACCAGGGCGTTGACTCGTGCCATAGTTCGCCGAAGCTTTCTGGAACTGCTCCTACCCCGCGACAACACGTGTAGGCACACGTGACTGTCAGTCAGGTGTATCATCCGGCAACCGGTTTGCCTCTGCTTTTCAATGCGCCAACGGAGGGAGGTAAATATAGCCCGCAATTCTAAAGCATTGATATGCTCGTGCGTATGCTTCCAGTGCCAGCCAGCTATGATCTTCCATTTCCACAAGCGTGACGGGACGCTCGCCCGCAGTCGTTGGAATTTGGGCAGCTGCGATGACGGGGCGTTGAGCATGATGTCTTCGCCCTTAACTGACACCAGGTTGCTGAGCTTGAAGGCTAACTCATAGGGTTCCACCTCAGTGGTTTTGCGTGACGGATTCAAAGGTAGCCTGGCAAGACGCCCTTGTACATGGTCATGGCCACCCGCTCGACACGCATCCAAGACCTCTTGGGGCGTCACCGCCCAAATCCATCCTAGCCAAGCAAACAGCTGTGACAGCAGCCAAGCAACCACGGGAACCGACCATGAGTTCCCCAGCAGGGTCAATCGCTGATCGTTGTATGAGGGCTTCTTGCGGTCGACCTTGTTGGCACACTGAGCGGTGTAGTGTAGGGGGAAGCCCATCATGACCTTCTGGGCTCCCTCACCAGGGTCAACTTCCCAGGTGAGCCAGTAGAGGCGCGGCCTATGGCACCAGGTCAGTGTTCCCGCGTCGCAAAGAAGAGGCTCATCCCCGAACCCCGCACTCATGATAGACCGGTCCGTGGAATCCATCGACCCCACCGATTCCATCAGAGTATGTACAGGGCACCAGGGAAAGGCCATTCGCACCAGATGCTGTATTCGTGGTACCTCTGAAAAAAGGCAGGATCTTTCGTCCTTCAGCGCGCCTTTCCGATCAGGGTTTAACCCCGAGACGCCTTGACATGGGGGACCTGCCCCGATCAGCACCAGTGAGCACTGAGAATAGCGGCAGGCCCATGACTTAACCATGTCCTCGTTCACCTCTTGAACAGTCGTCACGCACTCCACACCGGGGAAGTGTGCTTCAACTACTCGTTGGGCAGAAAGATTCGACTCTACCGAAACATGCCCCAACACCTTGACGTTGATCACCTCCAATGCTACTCGCCGTGCTGCAATGCCATCGAATAAGCCGATGGAGAAGACGGCCAGGTCTCCGCCTGCTTCAGGGACCTCGCCCCGCAACGACCCTTGCGCAACCATTCCCCCCAGGTTAGTGAGTCCAGTCGTAGCACAGAGCCCCCCTCCGTAGGACGAGGCGTCACTACACGTGACCATAGGGTGAACGTCAAGGCGAAAATCAAGGCGGGCCAACGGCAAAAGCCCGACAAAGCGTAGAACCTCAAGCCGGCAGTCATGTGGGGTCTCCTGCCGATATTTCCCCAACCTGTCGTATGAGAGAATGTGTTGCCAGACCTGGTTGAGCGACCCCAGCAGCGGTCTCCGGAACATGCTGAAGTACACCAGCCCGCCACAGACAACTTGCCATTGCTTCTGAGTAGAATAGGTTCGCTGGCACAGGTCCAAGGCTAGGCTGACATATTTAGCCAGCTTAGATTCACGAGGGTACGCAACCCCGCTCTGGCCATCAACCGTTGCGCCTTGCAGCTCACAGAGCGAAGATCGCTCCACCACTTTCTTGACGTTCCTAGGCACCTTCCAAAGTTCATATTGCTGTCGAAGGGACAAAACCCCTGCAGCACAGGTGCCCTCAAGGTCCGAAACCTCGCACTTTTTCACCCGCTCCAGGAGGTCGTAGTTATCCAAATACACCCTCCATGCCGGGTTGTGCACAGTGAAGCTCCTGTCCTTTCTCAACTCACCAGCGGGCGCATTGTCACTTGGCCCCATGCCTTCGGAGCTCCATGCAACAAGGTTCCTGTGAACATGCTGCGCCAGACTGACGGAGTTCAAAAACCCCATCGGAAGTACTCTGCTAGCCACATAGACCCGCCGACCTTGCAAAGAGGGAGGGAGAATCCTGTCGGGGACCAACTTGTTGAAAGCTAGATACTTGGTCCAGGCACGTGGAACACTCATCGTGTAGAAGAAGCATTTCACGTCTTCTGAACTCACGAGCAGTTGCTCATTGGGTTGCAGGAAGAACGGATTCATGCCACTCCAGCTTGGTAAAGTATCCACATCTCCACTTATGGGTTTACACAGAGCATTCAATGGCACCAGGTTCATTATAAGCCTATGGATGTCAGTTCCATCAGCAGTGGTCTCGTCCTTTGATACCCCAAACATACCGTTGAGCAACGGCCCGGCCGATGTCTGGAAAACGTCCTCTTCCAAAATAAATTCGCATACTCCAGTGGTGACGAGCCCAGTACAAACATCGGCCCAATCAGGATCTGCAACCATTACTTTGGGCTTCGTGATTGGCCCCCATTCTGATGCCGGCTTAATGTACTCATCAAAATGCAACACGTAGTGACGACACCCCAACGTGCAAACATCTTCCAGTGCTACACTGCCCACATCTGAAGGCAAGGCTGCCCCAACATTGGACCAACCAAACCACTTGGCAACCTTCACCTCGTCGCCCTTATAATCTATAGATCTTACACCAAAAAGCTCTTTCCAGTCAACCACGGGAACCTCCACAAGGATGTTAGCAAAACGCTTGATATCCAAAATAAGAAGTTCCAGACAATCTCTTTGAATGCCAGTCACTGGTCCATTGTGAACCACTTCTCCACCCCAAAACGAGTTCAAACTCAAACACAAAGACATGCACCAAAAAACTTGCTCATCGGTCAACCCTGGGAAGGCATCCAACAAAGAACTCCTAGAGGTGGGCAAAGGAAATATTTCGTCACGACTTCCTATGCCCGTGTCCTTGCCGCGTGCGAAGTGGAAGAACCCCTAGGAGTAACCCATAAACATGTTGACCCAACGAACCCAAACACTGCCCACCCAGGTCAATACGCTCAAATTCCTTTTTTGCACCACTATGGACGCGGTCAGCTGGTTCCGCCGCCGTACGGAGGCCTGTATCTGAGCAAGTTTGCTCACTCGCCTCCCTAGTGTCCAGGGCTGCCACATGCACTGATTGCTGATGGACTTCATAACTCTTGTTATCGGCCTTTAAGCCCTCAGCTGGAGGCTTCGTCTTTTCATGCGCCGGAGGGGCCATTACCATTCCCCTCTGATAGGGCGCCATCCCAAGCTGGTCGCCTCCCATGTTGGCCTTTTCAGGGCTCGCCTGCCCCGCCTCACCATTTCTCTCCAGGGCTCTAGCCCCGCGTTCTGGACCAGTACCTCTGGCCTCCCTACTCAGCTGCTCTTGGGAGTCGACTCCTCTCCTTTCTTCTGCCAATCTCCCTTCTGTCCTTTGCCTCTTCCGCCTTTCTTGCCGTCTCCTTTCCTGTAATCCTCCTTGTTCGGGGTTTTTCCTTTTCCCCCGCTCTTCTGTCCTTGTTGTGGCCTCCCATCGGGCAACGATGACATCCACCTGGTCTTGGCCTCCTCCATAGCTACCCGCTGGGCCTCTCGCATTTCCGCCGTAGCAGTGAGCGTAGCCTGTTCCGCCGGGAGCAACTCCAGCTTCTGCGACACACTCCAGTGGACCCCCCCGAGTGTTGACTCGGAGCTCTTGACTCGCTGTAGCAGCAAGTCCAGGCAAGGGGCTGCCTTCCCCTTGAGCAACATGTCTGCTGCTGCACAAAGGGTTAACAGCTCTCGCGCCACGGCTCCCGTGGCTTTGCGTTGGAGAACCTGCCGGTAGTACTGTACCGCTACAGCCTGGCCCGCGGCCGCCTGATCGTCCTCGCCCAGGGTTTGCAACAAGTTCGAACGCATCTGCCCCAACGCCTGTGCTGCTAGAACTCCCGGGTAGGAATCTGCGATCTGCCTGACTTTTACGGCCTGTTGAAAGACCGTGTCCCCCTCCTCCTCGTAGGGGGCTCCCTGTGAGCTGCCGCTTGACGAACGGGAACTGCTGCTGCTCTTCTTGGCCTTCTTTTTCACATAGCGTCGCGCCAGCTTGAACACCCTGCTCCGGACCCTCTCTGAAGAATCGAGTCCAGTTCCTTTGAAGAGGAGCCGGGGTGCCTTCTGCGCCGCTTTTCGCGCTTGCGTTCCATCCAGGGCTGCCTTCCCCGACACGCTGTCTTCCGAGGGGGATTCCCTCCTCCTCTTCCTTTCCTTGTCTCTCCTCTTTTTCTCTTTCTTGTCCTTGGCTTTCCTGTCCTCTTTCGTGTCTGCTGCCTCGCCTGCTCCTCCTCCTCTCGCTGGCGCCCCCACTATGCCCCGCTGCATCTGCTCTCTCAGGGCTTCTAACTGGTCTTCGTCCTCTGCAGGCGCTACCTTCTCCAGGTTGTTCGTCCAGGGAGCTTCCCCGTCTCCCTCCTTCAGCTTCCTTAGAACCACGGCATGCACTAGGTCCTCGGAAACTTCCTCGTGATTGCAGGAGGCTGGGCACAAAAGCACCCTGAGCTGCAACTGGGGCGTTCCACTCTGCAGCCGCAGGAGGCCTTCGTCCGTAGTCCCAGTGGGTTGCAAAGTGAGCACAACCCCCGTTTCGGTGACCTTGAACCCCAGGATCTTCCCGGCCAACTTGCACTCCTTGTGGAAATACCTCCCGCTCTCTACTACGATGGACTTCTCCTGAACAACCCAGTCTATTTTCAGGTCGCCCGCGTTCACATTCCGACCAGCGTCCCATGCTGCCTTGGGATCGTCCGATGACCGAAATCTCTCGATGCCCGCAGGCCTCCTCAGGGCACCTCGTCCCCGCACCCGGGCTGGCGCCCTGGCCATCGGCTTGGCCTTGGCTTTTCCCACGGCTTTTGCCTTTGCCTTCACTTTTGCCTTTGCTTTCGGCAGCATTTTTACTTCTGTCCCTTTCTCCTCTTCCAATAATCCACTCCTCTTTTATAATGGGAATACCCTTTCCAACGAGGGTACTTGTTCTCCCGCTGCCCGGACCCGGAGCCTCGGCTATCTCTGTTGTAGCCGTCCTCGCGCCTCCCGTCGCGGGGTGGCGGCCCCACGGGTTCTGCAGGCCTGCGGTGATGTGCTGGGATGGTTCCCTCTCTGGGTCTTCCACCAGCCGTCCCACGAATGGGGATAGTCTTCAACTCAAATCTCTCTGGATCTCGCCTTACTTCTCTGTCCAAGTCTTCTGTGCTAGGGTGGCTCCTCTTGCGGTTGTCCCGTTGTGGGCTCCTTTCTCCTCTCCTATTCCTCGTTGGCGATTCTGCCTCCTTCCCTGGAGACCTTGTCGCTCGGCTTCCAGAAGATCTCAGGGCTCCTCCCCGGTCTCCTCGTTCTTTGTCCCTGATATCAGGGTTTGCCTCTTCTCTGATCTTGCTTGGACTCTTTGCTTTTGCGGCTTTCTCCTTCCGCTTTGACTTGTGCTTTTCCTTCTTTGGGACCTTGGCTTTCTTCTCTACTTTTTCTTCACCTACGGCAGCTTTTGATTTTTCGCCCTCCTTGTCAACTGCTTTCTCCACTGGTTCTTTCCCAATCTCACCTACCTCTCCGGTATCTGGCACTACTCCACTAGCACCAAAGGGACCGTCCACCCCAACCTCAATGAGGTCACTTAGGGCTCCTGCGCAGTTTCTGAGCGCCCCTACGACTGCCGCCTCTTGGTAGATGCAGAGCTTGCCACTGCGTAGGATCGATCCGACCCTAAAGTAAGTCTTGCAGGCGGCACAGGTGGGAATTCCAGTGAAGATATGGCAGTTAGGACACTCACCCATCTACTACTTGAACCAAAAACACTAGGGAACACAGAATTCACCTGCATCTTAAAACCCGGGGGCGGAGGTCTATGTAACTATATATGTGTATATAGTGTATACAAACAATAGTGTATACAAACAAATTATTATTATTGCGATTGATTGCTGTCATTATTGTATCTTGTTATTAGCATTTTCGTTAGCATTATTCCATGATTACTATTGTCATGAGTATTGTCATTACGATTGTCCTTCTGAGTGTCGCTATTAGTGTCGTTGTATGTTTATTAGTGCCACTATCATTGTCATTGTTGGTGTCATTTTATTGGCATTCTTGTTGCGCAATTGTAATCGTTATCATCACATGTGTGTATAGATACAAAGAATACAAACCAACTAAAATCGTTTATGCAGTGAACACTAAGCATAGGGTAGATAACCAGAAAACTCGCAGATACTGATCATAAAGTATACGGCCCCTTCAATCCAGGACGGGATAAACCAATGATGTTGTCGTCATGACCCTAGACTGCATGGTCCTGTGGGTGCCCCGAAGTCCAACGCTTTATCCTCATGTTCACCATGAAAAAGCGCTGTCCCCTGATAAATGGGTTTATGGTACATTATTTATATATATATGTACACATGTGCATATGTATATATATAATACATATGTATGTATATGTATATGTATATGTACGTGTGTATATATATATATATAATCCCAACATATCCCAATCTTCTACTGTTGCTGGTAGATATGCCTGCCTTTCTCAACACCCGGAAAATCTCCGGCAGCTCGTTCCCAGTTGCTCCAGTAAGCTGGTTAATCTTCCAAAGCTTTCCTAATGCAGCTGGCAGTTTTGAGCCACCTGGTACCCTGGTACCCTGGTACCCCCGAAAGGAGCGTTTAGGGATCGTTGTTTTGGACGTTTGAGGGATACCTTGATTGGGACTCCTTTAGGGATGTCTCAGGATGTTGACGGAGTTGCAAGCAATGCTTGAAGGCCCTGAATATGGATTTGGGGGTCCTCGACACCCAAATTGTGCAGCTCAAGAACATCGCACCAATCTCATCTCAAAAATTATTGCTCGAAGGTCAGCAATAGTTTCCCTCATCCTGTCCATCAACGATTTTGAAAAGAAATAGCCCGGCCGGTCTAGCATAGGATTTGCCATCATGTCCATCAATTTCCCTGTCGTGAAGGACGCCCCTCAACCCTCTATCAATGAAGCAACCGGTAGTACCAGCCCCATTTCACCAGGGCGCAGGGATCTCGTGTAAGTAGTTGTCGTTGAGATTAAGCTCCTGGAGTGGGTTTCCGATGTCTAGTTGATATGCACATGCAGTACTGATACAACAAAATCACCGTCATGCTATGTCATTTTATGTTGTCCAAAGATTGGTAGATGCAAACCAACCAAAAATGATAGATGCTTTCTCAACACCACATCCCTTTCTTCATCAACAAACCCATCAAAGGAAAAAAAATGGGTACAAACAGGGAAAAAAAACAACAAAATCCATCAAAATCCACATCAGAATCCACCATCGCAAGCACCCATGAGTTAACCCCCCTGCTCGGAACCTCTAAGGCCACGAGGTCGCCGAAGTTCATTGGGAGTTCTTGGAGTTCGTTGGAGTCCAAAAACCTCGGCCATGGGATGCCATGGGGCCCTCATATTTGGGTCCTTTGGCTGTGTCCACCATGTGGAATTTATGCCCCCAAAATGCTGATGAAAAAATAGGGAAGCTGATGAACCATGAATGGGATTTTAGAGGTTTTCCGAAGACTTTCGGACACAGCCATTGTTGATTCAAATGGGACTCAAAGGGTTGGGCACCAGCCGGCAACCAAGAAAGTGACGCTGTGGCAAGATGCTGGAGGCTGCAAACACCAAAATAGCGTCTCGAAGCTATATCCAAGATCTAGGCGAGTTTCCATCACTTATTGAAGCTATCTTTTTTCACTCTTTGCAGCTACCTCCGTGTTTCAAGATGTTTTCATATCCATATGTTGGAGGTACCATACACCAAAACAACTGTTTGAAGCTCTATCCAGATTCAAAGCAGATGCCTCCAAGTGTTCACCTCCCAAAAAAGAACGAAAAAAGGAAACGACTCGTCGTCGATGTCGCCAGGGCACAATTTCTTCAGCTGGCTGAGGCTGCAGAAGCTGTCTTCCAGCTTCAGGATGGCGTTGGATCGCCTGACAGGGCGGCTGAAAGTTATGGCAGTTATGGCAGTTATGGCAGTTATGGATATTTCATGTGAGTTAACCAACAATGGGAATCACATGGGAATATCACCAACATCACATGGGATTTAAAGTGAATAAGAGTATTTCAGCGACCTGAAACTTGTAGCCGTTTTGGGGATGGCTCTCCTTATTAGAGAACAGTGAGGTCGTGGAATTATTCACCCAGACAGATGAGATCATGAAGGAAACCACGTATGAATTAAACTTAATTAAGGTCATGAGAAACCACGCATGTACTTGACTGTAACTAGATTTCTCATGAATTTAATGGTCTAGTTACAGTCAAGTACAAAGACTTGGACCTTGCATACTCAGAATTGTGGCCACTAAGAAACTTAGTCCGGTTTTTTATATGGGCATCGACAAGAGTGGCAATAGTGGGTTCCCCGAAATTGCCATAAACCAAACGAACAGTTCGCAAGTCTTTAGCGGAAAGGAATCTTCCAACCCTGACTGATGGCAGGGTATTAGTTGGGGGATGGTCATGGCTCCCTGAGATCCGTCTCCCTGAGGCAAGGACAGCGATAACCTCAATCTGCTGGTGCTCAACGGTCAACATCTTGAAAGAAGTGGCATGTTTGGTAGCGGATATCAATGATATCAATGTGGCTCAATAGATCTGTTTGCTTACACACAGATCGGAGTCTGTTTAAAAATCAGCCTCCGAAAGCCGCACAAAGGCAACCAATCCCCCGTAAATTTGCATAGGCCTTGGGCACCTACAAAGAATATGAGAGACTGTGAGTCTCTAAGTCTAAGTGGTTGTTGAGTTTCCTGGAGTTGGCACTTCATGCATGCACGTACCGCCATCAATTTTGCTGATCTGACTATCGGATAGATATGAGCTGATATGACCTCTGGCCCGTACAACATCATCAGCATACTGCCCTCGGTGCAAAAAAAAAATGTTCCACCATTACGTTTCTAGAACCGTAAAACTCCACATTCAAAAAAAAGACAAACTGGTTCAAGATCGATTAAAACCAGGAAACCCTGGGGTTTTATGTGTAAAACCATGATTTCCGTTTCATCTTCTCTTACATCGACCCAGTAAACGTTTGGGTGTCTCAGAAAAACAGACTCGGTGGATGTTCCCAGGAATTATTTACTACTGTTCAATCTTTATTGGAATTACTATGTGTGTTTGCATGCATAATATATATATGTGTGCGTGTGCGTGTATGTGTATATATATATATGTATGTATGTATGTATGTAGGTAGGTAGGTAGGTAGGCAGGTAGGTAGGTATGTATGTAGGTAGGTAGGTATATGTGTCTGCCTGCCTGCCTGCCTGCCTGCCTGCCTGCCTGCCTGGCTGGCTGCTGTCTGTCTATCTATCATGTGCTTGGGAAACTCAATTCGTAGCTCCAGCTGACTCCCCATGTTTTCTTGGGAATATCAATACCCCAACCGCTTCAACCCAATCCCTCCTAACCCTAACGACTGGATAGATATACCATACCTATGAGAAATCCCCGAACTAAATGGATGACGCCAGTATGACCCTATGTATATATATATATTCCCATGATATCCCCATATATTGATGGTTAATTACCCATGATTTTCCATATGATCCATATATACATAGGACCTAGGATAAAGATCCGATTTTTCACCAGGTGAACTACGGCGTTCCGCCCGGGCCTTGCGGCCCTGCACCAACCAAGAGGCTTCTGCACCGTGGCCAGCGCGCCGAAGCGCGAAGGCAGCGCCGTCAGCTTGTTGCTGGCCAGAAAGAGCTGGCAGATGCCGTGCAGATCTCCTGGAACAAAGTGAATTCATAGCATTCTTGGTATGTTATAACTAACAATAATCAATAATAATAGTAATAATAACTATAATGTGTTATAATAATAATAGTAATAATAACAGTAATAATAATAATAGATACAATGTGTTATAACTAACAATAATAATAATAGTAATAATAACGATAAGAAGAAGAACAATACCAACGACAAAAATAATGTACATATGTACTTGTGTGAAACTGCTGAAATTAGAAACCTGTACATGTCAAAGTAAATGTGTATGTATATATATATATGCATGTATGTATGTAATGTATGTAATTACTGTATGTATGTATGTATGTATGTATGGATGGATGGATGGATGGATGGACGGATGGATGTATGTATGTATGTATGTATGTAATTAATGTATGTATGTATGTAATTAATGTATGTATGTATGTATGTATGTAATTAATGTAATTAGTGTAATTAATGTATGTATGTATCTATGTATGTATCTATGTATGTATGTATGTATGTAATTAATGTATGCATGTATGTATGTATGTATGTATCTATGTATGTATGTATGTATGTAATTAATGTATGTATGTATGTAATTAATGTATGTATGTATGTATGTATGGTATGGTATGGTATGGTATGGTATGGTATGGTATGGTATGGTGTGGTGTGGTGTGGTGTGGTGTGGTATGTATGTTATGTATGCTATGTATGTTATGTATGTTATGTATGTTATGTATGTTATGTATGTAATGTATGTAATGTATGTAATGTATGTAATGTATGTAATGTATGTAATGTATGTAATGTATGTAATGTATGTAATGTATGTAATGTATGTAATGTATGTAATGTATGTAATGTATGTAATGTATGTAATGTATGTAATGTATGTAATGTATGTAATGTATGTAATGTATGTAATGTAATGTAATGTAATGTAAATGTAAATGTATGTAATGTATGTATGTAATGTATTAATGTATGTAATGTATGTAATGTATGTAATGTATGTAATGTATGTAATGTATGTAATGTATGTGTAATGTATGTAATGTATGTAATGTATGTAATGTATGTAATGTAAGTAATGTATGTAATGTATGTAATGTATGTAATGTATGTAATGTATGTAATGTATGTAATGTATGTAATGTATGTAATGTATGTAATGTATGTAATGTATGTAATGTATGTAATGGATGTAATGGATGTAATGGATGTAATGGATGTAATGGATGTAATGGATGTAATGGATGTAATGTATGTAATGTATGTAATGTATGTAATGTATGTAATGTATGTAATGTATGTAATGTATGTAATGTATGTAATGTATGTAATGTATGTATGTATGTATGTATGTATGGTTATATGTATGTATGTATGTATGAATGTATGTAATGTATGTAATGTATGTAATGTATGTAATGTATGTAATGTATGTAATGTATGTAATGTATGTAATGTATGTAATGTATGTAATATGTAATGTATGTAATGTATGTAATGTATGTAATGTATGTAATGTATGTAATGTATGTAATGTATGTAATGTATGTAATGTATGTAATGTATGTAATGTATGTAATGTATGTATGTATGTATGTATGTATGTATGTATGTAATGTATAATATGTATATAATGTATAATATGTATGTAATGTATAATATGTATGTAATGTATAATATGTATGTTATGTATAATATGTATGTATATGTATGTATATGTAAGTATATGTATGTATATGTATGTATATGTATGTATATGTATGTATATGTATGTATATGTATGTATATGTATGTATATGTATGTATATGTATGTATATGTATGTATATGTATGTATCTGTATGTATCTGTATGTATGTATGTATGTATGCATGCATGCATTCATGCATGTATGTAATGTAATGTAATGTATTGTATTGTAATGTAATGTCGGTAATGTAATGTAAGTATGTATGTATGCATGCATGCATGCATTCATGCATGTATGTAATGTAATGTAATGTAATGTATTGTAATGTAATGTAATGTAATGTAAGTATGTATGTATGCATGTATCTATCTATCTATCTATCGATCTATCTATGTATCTATGTATCTATGTATCTATGTAAGTATGTAAGTATGTATCTATGTATCTATGTATCCATGTATCTATGTATCTATGTATGTATGTATGCATGCATGTATGTATGTATAATATGTATAATATGTATAATATGTATAATATGCATAATATGTATAATATGTATAATATGTAAAATATGTAAAATATGTGTGTATGTATATGTATGTATGTATGTATGTAATGTAATGTAATGTAATGTAATGTAACGTTAATGTTAATGTTAATGTTAATGTTAATGTTAATGTAATGTAATGTAATGTAATGTATGTTTGTATGTATAATATGTATAATATGTATAATATGTATAATATGTATCATATGTATAATATGTATAATATGTATAATATGTATAATATGTATCATATGTATCATATGTATAATATGTATAATATGTATAATATGTATATGTATAATATGTATAATATGTATAGTATGTGTAATATGTATAATATGTATAATATGTATAATATGTATAATATGTATCATGCATGCATGCATGCATGCATGCAGGCAGGCATGCATGCATGCATGTATGTACGTATGCACGTACGTACGTATAATATGTGTGTGTGTGATTATCTTTCATCTACAAATGTGCACATGTGAACGTACAGGTGTGTGTTTGGGATGCTAAGATATATCCAGACAGCGTACACATGAGGGCTCCAATGGGCTCCGCACCTATGCTCTCCGGAAGAGTTTCCAGTTTGGCACTGCCCACATGTAGCTCTTGTAAGGCCTGCGGTCAGATTGTAGCTGGCGAGACACCAAAGTTCTTGGGCAAAACAAAGCAATGCCATTCCAATCCATCGTGGTTTCCATGTCAAGTGCTCCCAACTCTGAAGAACACCCGCAGCAACCAAAATCCATGCATATCACATCATAACACCACTGAAAATGAACTTCGGAAACAGAGAAATCAAACACCTACGATGTCACTCCACACAGGTGGGTCTGAAAAGTGGCGCCTGCAACTGCCCCAGAGCTGCGGGCAGCTCGGTCAAAGGGTTGCCGCCCAACTGAACCATATGCAGGTGATGCAACCTCAGTCTCTGGCTGCTGAATTGGGGGGGTACCAATTAGATATCATATTATGTATAATATATATATATATATATTTTTTACACATATTATCACTATCTGGAGGATACCCCCATCATTCATAAAAAATGGTTTATGAATCCGGGGTTGACATTGTTGATGTTCATGGGCTGTGCAAGTTCCCTGGGCGTCCCGGCTCACAACAGCTGTCCGGAATGCTGCTGAGCTCGTTATTGGCCAGGTACAGTTCCTAGCCAGAGAGTCAAATTTCGACATTGCTGCATCTAAATCTAGGCTATCACATCAAAAGAACATGTGGGTTATTCATGTGGGTACGGAATGGAACAAACAAATCGATCGAAACATTTAGCAAACAAAACATATGGTGCTTAAATTGCAATGGCTATACAACCAACAAATTGATTGGGACCACAATACGTAACCAAGCAAAAACCTGGAAGACCTGCCACTTGAGTCTGGAATCTGAGTGCGACTTGACAGCGGCAAAATTGGGGCGGGATGTGGGCCAAAGGTATCCCACAATCTTCATCCACATCAAAATCGGTCAAAACTGTTGGGGAAAAAATAAAAACGATACCTGCACTATGGGATGGTCAAAAGTTGATACCCCAAAAAATGAAAACCTGCAGATGGTTAGGGTCTAAAAGCTAGACCGCATATCCATGTTACAGTAGTTACATGTAGTTACTGTACCTCCACCACACTATGTCAGGGTCCTGCAGGAGGGACAGCTGGCCGATGCTGTCGGGAAGCGCCTCCAAACGATTGGAACCTTGGCCCGCTAGAAGGCCAAACATTTTCATTGGACGCGTCGCAGTGGTGTGCATAGGTTGATTTTGAAAACGGATGTGTGCTAAGAAACATGGCCATCTATGTCTATGTAGATATACATGCTGCGTGTCTCTGTGTGTGTGTGCATGGAGTCGAGTTGGATTCGAGAAATAATGTCTTCCTGTGGGTATGTAAATATCCCTCTATATCATGCACATATGCGTATGGATGAAAATCATCTCTTTAAGAATGACTAGCCATTTGTCGTTCATGGGGCCCTCATGTTTGGGTCGCCATACCTGCGGTGCATCATTCCCGGCCAAAACTATGGCAAAATCAATTCATATTGTTGGGGTCCCAATATATCACAATAAAATGGTTGCGTTTTACTATAAATTTCATTTTTGTTGATTAAATGTGACAAGTCTATCTCCTACTTAAAAAAAAAAACATCGCCATGTAATGCCACCAGGGAACCCAAGTGGAGCTTTCTCAGGTTCTGCAGCTGGCCTAGTTCCTTTGGCAACCGAGAGATCTCGTTGTAGGAAAGGTTCAACCTCAGTTACGGGGGGGCAAAAATGATATTTCAAAAACCCGTTCAAATCGATGGTTTGGTGGGTCTTGCGTATTTTGATGCTACAAATCCGCCGGCCTGCCGGCGTGTCTTGTGGATCTTGCTTGTTCGTAGTTGTACTGTCTGTTTTGTCTTTGTCTTTGTCTAGACTTTCCCCTTGGCGCGGATTTTTGCCTCGTCTAACTTGCACCCACCTAGCTCTTCTTCGTTTCGTCTTCATTTTTTCTTACGTTTTGGTGGGCTCAACTCTGCCCACGCCTCGCTCAACACCGGCTTGGTTTTGCACATCTTGCTGTCATTTCGATGGCTGTTTCCGTCTTTTTGTTGTGTTTGCCATCAGTTTGCTCCGTCGCTTCTTATATCCAATACTTGATCCACTGGCTTTTGTGCCGAACACCTTTTACACGCATAAGCTGGCCTTTTCCAAAGCCTTTCTCAATATGGCCTTTTCCAAAACCCTGGTTTACACACATGCTTTGGTTTAAACTTAAACCGTGGTTTGAACAAAACCACTGTTTTTGCGTCCAAACCATCTTTTACACAAAGAGCTGTTTTACACAAAAACTGTGTTAACACAAAAACCATGTTCTTGCTGGGCCTGTGCATGGGCTGTTTGCAGCTTACAGGATAGCTCTTTCCATGGTGGCCGGCGGAACACGCCGAAGGCGGTTAAATAACTATGGCAAAACACCGATTCTGTGGTCAGATGCGATGCCCGTTGAAATGTCCAGATGCCTGGTGGGAAGCTGGCCAAAACCCGACACAAACTTTTGCTTGGCTTTGCGTTTCTCCAAACGTATACATACGTATAGATAATGTAAGTATACAGAGATCAGTAACATTAGCAAATGATCCAAGATTTACTAATAGTATCTACTAATATGTATAATATACTATATAGTATATTTACTCATAGTATACTCATATTTACTAATGATAATATATGTATAGTATATACTAAATTATACTAATATAGTATGTCTATACTACCCTCTTGGAAGGTCACACCTGTGCCAAGGCACGTTTCCAGGTGTCTCAATTGCCCAAGGCTCGCAGGCAGCGCAGTCAGCTCATTGGAACTCAGGTGTAGTTCTTGGAGAGACAAAGCTTGACCTGGGAACTGATGCCTGGTGATTTACCTCTTTTTATTCAAGTAAAATTGGGGAAAATCTTAAAATTGGGGAAAATCTTAAAATTGGGGAAAATCTTGATTTACCTGTTTTTTCAAGGACAAAAATAAGATTTTGTTGGGGGGAAATTTTGGGAAAAAATGGGGAAACATTGGGGAAAATGTTGAGAAACATGGTTTCCGACAATTTTTGTTTGAGATGTACTCTAAGTGTTTGGTTGATTTCCTATTTTTTTGAAGAGTTATGTATCAAATTGTTGGCTTACAATTTCAACTGCCACCTGTTTTAACAGTAAACTTCCCAGTCTGGGTACGCAGTTTTCTCATCAATCCACACTATGCTCGGCAAATCCATTTTCTCTCCTATCTCTTCTAAATCTTAAATTTCCACATCCTTTGGTCACATTTCCATCATAATTCCACTATTTGCAACGTTTCCACAATTTGTCCCAACAGTTTTCCACTGTTTCCCTATTAGCTAATTTTCGCGGGACTGGAACCCAGCGCGGGTTGGATATGGACGGAGAAATGTTTATTGGACATGTTTCCCCAAATCAGATCCGTGGTGGAATTTGGAGATTAAACTGGACCATGATGACCTGATGAGTGGCTTGGTTACCCCGGGGATGACGATGATGATCATGATGATCATGATGATCATGATGATCATGATGATGATGATGATGATGATGATGATGATGATGATGCTGGTGGTGGTGGTGGTGGTGGTGATGGTTCAACACTCCACTGAACTGTAGATATCAGAATCCATCGCCCACTCTTCGGATGGTTCCACACGAAGGCCATCATCGAATGATCCAATGGCGAAATAGTGCAGCTAGAACACCGATGCTCTCGGGCAGCTTGATGAGCCTTGGATTGTACAGTGCTTCTATGTTTTGTAGTGGTTGGTCTTGAGATGAGGCGGAAAATCTCACATTTCCCCATATATACATAACATAAATATCTACATACATAATCATACATATAATAATATTATATTATATTATATTATATTATATTATGTTAAAATGTATTATATTATATTGTATTATATTAGATTATATGCATGATCTAAACTGATCTAACATATCTAATGTTTCAGAGCACCCCCAAATTCTCAGCGGGCAACAGGTTGGCATCGGCACGCAAATCTTTCAGCTTCTGCAACTGGCCCAGAGTCTCTGGTAGCTCCCGCAGCTTGTTGGAACTCCTTGGGCTCGATGGTGGTTTTTGTTGCCGATATTCACCAACAATGGGTCCCAGGCTGTGGGTCAAGTTACCTATGAAATTACCATATGACTGGTGGAATAATATGGAATAACCATCCATTAAAATTAATAATCGATTTTTTATGGTACCTAGAGTGCCAGCGTTTCGACTCATAGCCATATAGAGGGGTAATATGACTGGATAATTACATATAGGGCAAGCAACTTGCGCAAATGCTGTCTTTGAACATGATTCAAAATGCTGGAGTTCAAAAAATATTAGGAAATTATATCATGGGAATATAAGTGCATATCTCAACATATCTTAACACTAAGTAGGGATTTAATAGGAATATATATATATAATTGGATATCTCACCAATAATATGATATTTGGGGTGCATCTGAAAATGGGGTCACACTGCATTTGACCATCGTCCCAAATATGTTGTTTTTTTAAACAAAACGATGAAGAAATGAAACCACCAAGCCAATAAGAAACCATACCCCCATAGCCCATTTTTTCAACTTTCCTAGGGTCGCGCTATCTAAAGCTACATTCCAAAAAGGAGTTTATTGTTGGAATCACATTACTTTCACGGGCCCTCACCTCGATTTTTGAAATTGTGATCTGAATCATGCAAAAATGAAGCGCTCAAGTATATATTTTGTTGCTAGTCGAAGCCGCCAACCGGCCGACATCAGAGGGCCAGGTTTGTGGTAGATCTTTGCATGTCGGTTTCTGGACATTTGTGAACAGGTTCCCTGGTGTACCCATATTAAAGATATCATAAGCCACTTATATATGGAGTATCCCAACTTATATATGGATCATATGGGTGTGTCTCAACATAAGGTACCCCCAAAATCTGGAGGTTGATCATCTTTCAAGATTTAAATGGCAACTGTTAATGGCTATCCCCTGCTATCCAACACATATGGAGGTGTCCTAAAATGGTGGTACCCCAAATCATCCCAAAATAGATCATTTTAGTATAGGTTAACCCATGGTGACTTGGGGATCCCCCATCAGAAACCCCCATTTATACTATATATATATATAATCATATTATATAATAGTGGAATAGTGTAATATCTACCATTGATAGGGCCAAATTATGAAACAACCACTTCACCGCCTTGAGGCCACATCCCTCCATGCGTCAAGTGCAGTTCTTCCAGGTCGGTCAACTTTCCAAGGCCCGCAGGCAGCTCCTCCAGCTGCGCGCTTCGGAGTTGGATGCACGGCTCCTGAGAGGCACAGATTTGGGGGGTTCCATAAGGGGGTACCCCAATGGTTGGTTGGTTTATCTCACGGAAAATCCCAATCTAAAAGGGGTGATCCAGGGGTACCATGGGGTACCCCCCAGTTTTGGAAACCTCCATGTATCATTTAAGGCCATCCAGACTAGAGACATGGAACTGAGAATGGCTAGAATCTGGAGTTAAGTTCTTTCAAGTCTTGATTCCAGCTTGTTTCCTAGGCCAGACATCTCTTAGGTCAGACATGATCACTAGTTATAAACCACTGGCAACGCACAAAAAATGATGGGTCTTCTGTCTCTCAAAACCTGAAAATCGTCCCAAAGTCATCTAAAAAATCATCTCTGGATCTGAAATTCGTGTGTCTGGAAATGGGGGACAGCATACGAGTACCTCCCCCATTCATATGGTTATTTAAAACGGGAAAATAGTTGTCCAGTGGTTTGTGGCTTTCTCCCAAAAACTCAGGACTCAGGAAAAAAGGCTGGTTCTATATTGTGATTTTGCCATGCTCAGTTACAGTAGCACGATTTTAGGCACGATTTGGTGCACAAAGAATTGCAGAAAAAACACCATATGGCGCACGAAAAAAAGGCAGAAAAAAAACAATGATATGTTGCATGAAAAAAGGCAAAAAAGAGCACGAATTGGTGCACGAAGAAATGCACACGATTTGGTGCACGAAGAAATAAACAAAACATGTCATGGGTGCTGCATGAGTAAATACAAAAAAAGAAAAGTCTTTCTGGTCCAAAAAATGGTGCTATAAATTGTGGTTTTCCTTGGAAAATAGCAACAAAAAAGAACGGTTTGAAGCAACATTTGGAGCACGACGGATTTAGATGATTCCATGCCAATCCAGAGGTTGGCGCAAGCAAAGAAAAATTGTGCAGCGCTGAGCCAAGAAAAGCGCACATCTTGAAATTGTGATGTGTGATGTGTGACAATCAGAAATTAACTACAGTTTAACTGGATGGACGGGCTTTGTAGTCCAAAGTTTCCTACGTGTTCAGAAATTGCTGGAAGAATCCTTTCATGAAAAAACGTGATTTCATGGTGTACCATTTGGGGGGGTCTGTTTAGTAAGGAAACCTTTTACTGACTGTTACAGAGCAAGGAAAAGCCTCAAGTATCCTCAAGTTATATATTCCATTAAATCCATTGAAATCCCAATTTACAACAAGAAAAAACATGGAAAAATCACCCCTGAAATCAGAAATCCCCCTGGTGTCTTCCGCGCCTGCGCGGCGTCGGCGAAGTGTTCCAAGCCCAAGGCCTTGGCGAAGAGCGCCTCCAAGGGGTCCGGCATCACCTGCACTGTGACACCTGGGCCGTGGATCCGGCCGTGGATCCGGGGGTCAGGGGATTTTTGGATGGGAAATCCACTGGGGAATCCACTGGGGAATCTGTAGGGAATAGAAATAGACGTGATGTTTGGATGGGAATCTGACTCGGAAATCTCTGTTTATATCATGTTTTTGGGGTTTAACGGTTAAGCAAATCCAAGTATTATCAATGTATTTGCGTATTTGGGTGTGGTACCTTCCGGCAATCAAACATGGCAATTGGAAATCCACGGACTAAATGCAGGCTATCTGGGAAAATCATCTATACATTCTATATAAGTGTATAAGTGGTATATGGTATATATTGGTATATGATATCCTATTTCAAGCTTCTGGGTTAAATATGGATCACCCATCTCATCCTAATCCACATCCAAGAGTGTATCATCTTCAGCAAAGTATGGTAAAGATTGGATTTCACCATCAAAGTTGGATGTGGCCACCAACATTTCACAGGGATGACTCAAGATGGGGTTGAACCCCAAAAAAAATGGACTAGCTGCATATTGTATATGTTGGACAGCTATCTACAGTATTCTACAGCAACGGGCGTTTTCAGCATCATTGGGCTTTGTAAGATAATTAGAGGGTATCATTGGGGGTTGAACTAGCAATCTATTGTGGGCCTGATAAGGTTGATCGAAATATCACCTTGTGGAAATCCAACTCTTCAATAGAAAGATCCATGAATACATCATAAATCGTCATAAGCTTTCCAAAAGACCGTGTTTACTTGGAGGATGCTTGGCTCTCAGAAATTTGGGACTTGATCCGAGAGTGGGCCACTAGAGATCAGCCCAGCCGCAGCTGTCTTCCAACACGAAGGAATCTCCGTCCTGACAGCTTTCACTTCTGGGAAACCTGGATCCTGAAATCGATGTGGTAGAGCCAGAAACCTACCATTGCAACATAACCTTTTTCCACCTGGGAATCTTGGGGATGGTAAACACTATTGGGTTTACCACAATTTAAAAAAGACATGAAACGATTGTGCCGATTTGCCGGCTCCTCCAGTAGGGCACCCCATGAAACAAGCCGCACGCGTTCCAATTCCAAGCACAAATGTCGTGCCAGGACGGCGCGAGCCACCCCTACGGCCACCTGCGTGCCATAGTTCCTTGGGGCGATAAAAAATGGCACTGCGGAACCCGATCTGGAAACTCAGTGAAAGCAACGTTTCTTCACCTTCTGGGCTTCTGGATATTTTGGGAGTGGGAAAGCAAGGTTTCGGGCCCCTCATTTTGAAGAAACATTGGCGGTTGATTCTATCTCCTTCAGTGGGATGGTACACTCTGAGTTACTCTGAGCTGGGGCTGTCACAGCATATGGTGCATCTGCTCTGTTTCATGAAAGGACATAGAGGTAACATGATGCAACCCCAATCACCAGGGCGAGCTTCCCAATCTCGGCCTCACAGGCTACGGGTTCTCCACTCAGCAGGCGAAATGCCATGGGCTGTGGATCTTTTCAGGATCCTCCCAAAGATTTTATGTCAATATCATGATGCTCATAGATGCTCTTCCCAAGGGTTGTTCTTCGATTCCAGTCACTACTGGGTTCCCCTTGGGTTCCAGGAGACATGCAATGTGTCCTGTGACCAAGCCGGTGGGCAAGCTGGCTGGTGGATCAAGGCATGTCCGCTTTGTTTTCGGATCGTTGAGGTCCATGGGTTTCGGCCATGATTGCTGTTTCTCTTGTGCAACTTGTGTTCGGTCCCAAAAAGCTGCAGCCATCAGCCAGAGCATCAGGAACGAATAGAGATATGGGATCGAACAACACATTTGACTCAGCTCAAAAGGGTCAGTTTGACCAATCGTGTCAACCCCGGATCAATAAGCCCCTAAACTTTGGGGAGTTACCACAAAGAATAGTTGTCCTTAAATTGCTATTTGGAAAAGCAGTTTGGTAAGTTTGGTACCCCCTTGTTTATCAATTGTTACCATAACCTGGGGGTCTAGAACACTATGAACACTCCTGCGTTTATTAATTATTACCCAGTGAATCCTGTTGATCCCCATGCGCCGGAACCCGCGAACCAAGGGAAGCCCCACAAAGCGCTGCTTCTCGTGCACAGCGTGGCAACCGAAGTTCTTGCCCACCGTGACGTGCCAGTACCTAGGTATGTGGTGAAAAATCGGGGAATGTCACGCCAGTACCTGAATACCCTCTGGTAATCAAAGATGGCTGGAAAATCCAATGGAAAATTCCCAGCTGGGTATTCCAATGGAATTCGCCTTGTTGACCTTGGCCCTGCATGGGGATGGGGATCTGCCGAGACACGGCTTGTGGTTTTCATCAAAGTGCTGCTTGATCTTCTGGGCAATGGTGGTGCCTGTGATCCCACAAAAGAGATGTTGCTTGATGGGTTCATCATGTTCATCTCGCTGAAGAGATCTATGGGATGATTGGAAAGGCAAACAAAAATGACCTGAGAACCGAAGCTGAGTTCAGATCGCTTCAGAATGGTTGCTTCTTCCCAAGTATATTGTTTTTTTCATATGTTTTCCTAGTCCTGTTGACAAGCGAACAAGATCGAACAAGCATTGTTCCATTGATTCCGAACTGTGAAACCAGGTCAAACTGCCCTGACATTTTGTTCCCAGCCATGTTCCATTCCCAAATGTCAACTTGATCTGATATTGTTTAAAGGCCGTCCCAACAAAAACAACATCCCAGTCAGTTTCCTGCATCTGTCCCGTTTCTAACATGAATCCATTGAAGACGTTGAGGCCTGTGTTTTTCTATGTTCATTCTATATCTGTAAATCAAATGGGAGTTATTACACATTACATAATATATATATATATAGATAATATGACATGCCATACCCCTTAACAAAACAATGTAATATAGTATATACCCTGGTGATTGCCCAGAAACCTGAAACAGGCTTTCCGGCCCTGCCGGCCCTGCCGGTGCCGCCTTCTCGTTCGTTTCTGCCATGGGTTTCTAGGGCCTCGAGTGAGACCTTCACCTTGGATGCGGATCGACGGATCGAGGGACCGAAAGTGGCTATGGTCCTATGGTTGTTATATGGAAAAATAACCATACATTGTCCCCAGAAATCTATAGAATCTATGGTTCTGAATATATATACATATATATTAGTGTGGCATATCATATGATAGCCATATGATTAGTTCATATGAATCTATAGAAGTCATCACACATTCATCATGTACATATGCTATCATTATGATTAATGAATATGAATGATTGGTATTGATGCTTTCTATTTGCTACGTATTTTTATGTGCAAATCATTGTGGTTATGTGTGTTGTCATGCTGTGGCGCCTCTACTAGGATGAGCCCTGTTCCCGGTGCTACTAGGAGGCTCATCCCACTTGAAAAGCCCTGATAAATACGGATGTTTGCTAAAGACGTACTGGAATCTGGATAAATCTGGATATATTATATAATTAATGAATATGTCAGTCATCTGAATTCGGCTTCCCCTTACTTCACCATAGTGACGTCCCAGTCATCTTCGGTGCCCAGTCACCGCATCCTCGAGCATGTCGTCAGGCATGTCTGCGGGCCAAAGGATCTTGGCCTCGGCAACTCACCGGCAAATTCGAAATCCAAAAGCTTTTTGGGTGACGAATGGGGATAAATAATGACTAATGATTTGACTAATGGATTGTTTAGGTGTGATTAATGAATGATTTTTTCACCTGACAGAATTTTCAGAATCCTGAACTGGTTGTGGGAGATGCTTCTGGTTCTCCGAATCAAGAATCACCAGCAAAAAGACAGTTTCGATGTGCTTTCTGCTGATTTTCCGGAACCCTAAATGTTCAGACCCAAGAGTACAGCTCCGCGCTCCACCTGTTGACCTAGGCTGCAGACGCCCCAGAGGACCTTCCATTCCTGGCGGGCCAGATGTGGAAGGTCTGACATCTTTTTGACCCATAGCAGCCATAGCCATTTGGGGATGGGTCAAAACCCTGGTACCTAGTGAACCCCAAAATAGCTGGGATTTATGGATGTTCATCCCACTAAAATGTATCTATAGGTATTGACCCATAGCCATTTGATGTGTGCAAGTGACTCAAAGCCACTGTGGCTTTCTCCAATTCCAATTCCAAATTGGCACCTCTTGTGCCTTCTGCTCGTCTTGGTTTTGCGCCATGACCTCGATACGAGTCGTCATCCGTCAATCGAAAAATTATCACTGCGGTTTCCTCGGATCATCATTGGAATTCCAAATACCCGGCCTGGTAAACAGCCACATAGCTATGGAAAGATCCACCCATTTTTCATGGGAAAATCCACTATTTCTATGGTCATTTTCAATAGCTATGTTAAATTACCAGAGGGTAAATATTCCCATGACCAAGGGTTGACACTGTTGACACTGTTGACACTGTTGACACTGTTGACACTGTTGACACTGTTTGAAGTCTCACCACATTGGGTTCCCCTAAAACTTCCGGTCCATCCGAGAGTGACTGAGTGGCCAATGACAACTGAGAAGCACTCAGACTGAGAAGCAGGCAGCTTCTCAGCGCAGCTGATTGTTGCCCTCTTCTTTTAGGGCTGAGCCAAGTGCCAGGAATTCATCACGCCATACAGGACAAGCCAAGAAAACATCATGGAGCCGTGAGGATAATATACTTGGCAACATCCCCAAAAATCCTCTTGCCAGAAAGGATTGCACCCATTTGGATGTACAAGTAGAGTAAGAACAATGACCATGTGAGAAACTCCAAAGAGTAATCTGAATATCACCGAGCTGGAAATGTCAAATTCATTTCAACTGTGACAGCTTGATTTGGCCTCTAACCTAAACAATCCTAAACATCTCTATGACGAGTTAGCCTGCCACCCTACTGATTTGTGACAGTGAGATGAATATGGGTCAAAACCGGATCAGTGCCCTGGAATTCGCATCACTCTCTTAGATGGCATATGAATGTTCATACCCCAAACGTATGGTATCACCGCAGATGGTTAACATCCATCCCCATATGTGTCCTGTTTTGCACCGGTTGATGACTCTTGCAGCACCGGGTCAATTGTGCTGAACACCTTTTCGGTGCAGCCGTTCCAGCAGCCCAGACGAGTGCAGCCCAACGTGATTCTGGCAAGCAATTCTCCGCAGGCCACTTTCTTTACGCATGTCAAGTTGTCTGCAACTCCAATAGCACAACTATTTCCACTAGATAGCATGTTGTAGAACATCTATCTACCTATCCATCTATCTCAAATTCCCTGACCTGTCGTGTTCCATGCTTGTTCTATCTGCTCTTTCAGCACGCCAATCCGGGCACTCTTCTGGGTTCACGTGCGTCTCAAAGGACCCTGGGACGCTGCAAAGAATTGCTCGAAGATGTAGTCCCTATGGATGGCCAACAGCTGTGACATTGGTTTGTCTGGAAACAGGTGCCCAAAAATCCACCGCTATCAGCTCGTTATCTCATTTTCCCCGTCAAAATATCATTCTTAGGGGGTATACCCCATCTTAAGACACGGCCTTGTGTCGAAGGACCATCTTCGAACTGATCGCAGACTGTCCTCTCATGTTGACAGCCTTGCCGTGGCATGCCCAGTGTCCCGCGAGTGTTGTTGAAGATGACATAAAGCGTGACCAAATGATAGCCCCTTACAACATGGAGCAGGAATTCCCATCGTGGAAAAAATATAAAAATCAATAAACTGGGTCCTTTGGTAGTGAATAAAACCCACTATGCTTGGCAGTTTGGTAGTTTGGCCCCAGAATAATCCGAATAACCAGGATAACCAATAGGGATGATTGTGCATTTCTCACACATTCAACCGGTCGTGGCAGCAGAGCATGGCGGATTCACTGAGAAATCCGAACAGTGTCATGGTATGTCATGGTCAGACGGTCATCGCAGCTAGCAAAAAGCCATCAAAACTATTCAAAAGTCCTCACGATTCCCAGCACATTCCCCAAATTCCGGGCCTTTCTCATCCATCATTGGAACCCAATGATGCAGCCTGCTCCGTGGATGCCGTGGTCATGTGGCACTCTGTGTCCATGGACCCTGGTCACCTCCTGAGGACCCCATAAGGACCTGCAAAGCTGGTTGGAGGTGAAGATCTAAGGAGGTCACCTGGCAAGGCCATGAAATGTCAAGCCTGGCGGAGCATGAAATGACAATGCTGGGGGACCCATATCAGAGTGTCATGGTGCCCAGCATTTTCTCGATGGATTTCTGAGTAACTTTGCAGAACTCCCAACTTGATCTGTGAAATGTCTTTAGATTTCCGTTTAACACGTCATTGAAAACTGGAAAACCATCCTAAGCAAATAAGCAGACAAATTTGGGGGTGGGTCTAGTTTCATCTTAACTTTGGGCGGATCTCCTTCCCTAAAAGCTCCACCAGTGGTGACTGCGTGGCCCGACACTGCCCTGCAGATCCTCCACATGAGATCGCCTTGCTCGGCATGCAACGCATGATTGACAGATGTGGGGGGCTAATAATATTTATCAATCTTATATATTAATAATATTTGCTCGACATACACTGTAATTATATAATATATATATATATATTAATACATATATATAATTACATATATATAATTACAGTGTGTTTACATATATATAATTACAGTGTGTGTATGTAATGTAATGTAATGTAATGTATTGTAATGTATGGTATGGTATGGTAATGTAATGTAGTGTAGTGTAGTGTAATGTAGTGTAGTGTAATGTAATGTAATGTATGTTATGTATGTAATGTATGTAATGCAATGTAATGCAATGTAATGCAATGTAATGCAATGTAATGCAATGGAATGTAATGTAATGTAATGTATGTATGTTAGTTTTGTTAGTTATGTTTAGTTATGTCATGTCATGTCATGTCATGTCATGTCATGTATGTTATCTTATCTTATCTTATCTTATCTCATCTCATCTCATGTTATGTTATGTTATGTTATGTTATGTTATGTTATGTATGTATATACAGAGATTATAATACACCCAACATGGTTGTCTTTAAAGGAAAAAGGAAAGCACCAATGTCAGGAAAAATATTGGAATCTCAACCACCTAAATGAGCCAGACGAGCAACCATACGGCTTCAAAACATGGTGAAGTTTTCCTGGAGCCCGCTGCTACTAGGCATCCAACGCAATGCTGCGCAGCCAGCTCAGACCACAACCTGCCGGCTGAGGGCAGCTTTGGTGGAGATTGTTTCAATGGATTGATCCAACAAATTTGGATATATACCACGTGACCACGTGCCGTGACTTTGGGATAGAAGTCAGTCACCGCAACTGAGCTCGGACCTTCGTGCTTGATCCATGGAAAGTGAGTTGTTGAAAATTTGCAGAGGACCCAAGCTGCTACAAACTCGTCCCTTTCTTTTATCAAGTCCCCTTCCCCAAAGCGTCCGCACCCTCCAATCCACATGACCTCGATCTTCCAAATATTTTCTCAAGCGTAGGCTTTCAGCCGCTTCACTTGCAGCTTCTTCTTGGCACCTGGACTTATTCCCACATAGATGCCCTGCAGAACAAATTCCCAGGGTAATCGAGCTATGTCTCTGAAATTGTACTTGGGGCATTGGGGCATTCGCAGCTGCCATCCTACTTTTAACCAACGTTCTTTGAAGTGGGAGCTGACCTGGACGTAGGGAAGGAGCTCGCTGTACCTATCAATGGTTGCCCAACGATCCACCTGATCTATGCAACAAAATCCTCCAAAATCAGTACCTCTGGTAAGTGGCAATGGAAAACATCCCATTTATAGATGTTTTTCCCATCTGAAAAAACCTCAATTTAGTGGGGGGTTTTCGATTTTCCAGCCAGCCACATGTGATTATCAGAGGCTAAATTCTAGAAAATGGAAGCTGTTTATCAATGGCCATCCACTCCATTTGTTAAAATCGGAGCTTTCCAACAAGTCGTGGGGGCCAATTCATCCAATTCATCCAAGTCATGGATGGCCATGACTCAGTATAATATATATATTGTACTATATATATTGTACTATATATATATTATAATATATATATTATAATACATATATTATAAATATATAGGTGAAGCCATGGTGACGACTGGGGATCCACCATGACTTCAGAAACCAAAAAAAACCTACCGGGGAGACCACCTGGCGACGCTGCTTTCCAGGACGCAGCGCAGTTCTTGCACCTAATCAGAAGGGCTCCAAAAAGATCTGGAAAACCCATAAATGTAGGTGCATTTTATATATATATGTATATATATATATTTGGATAATTTAAAATAGTTCACCAACCTCATATAGAGCCGTTTTGGGAGTTTTACCCTTACTAATCAGCATTTCAGTCATAAATTGTTGCTACACATATGCAGATGTCCATATATGTAGATAGATAAGATTTACAATAATCACCAAAAAGATGTCAAAAAGTGATGTGTCACTACTAAAAATGTGGGATTATTCTTCTACGAACCCCTAACTTTTGGAATACTATATATGTATATGATTATATAATTAAATGATCATTAAAATAGTAATATCTTAATGATAATATATCTATAATGTCTACATAATATCATTATTGATGTTATCATTATTATTTACATATATATATATTATCATACATATCTATTGTATGTATTATATCGTATCTACTGTCCTCCTCCCTGCGCTGAAGCCTGCTCCAGCTCCTTGCGCCAAAACGCTTCGGCTCGCTCTGTCTTCTGCAGCTCCTCCACCAGCAAGGCCTTGCGATACCCGTGGATGCGGACATCGTATTTAATAGAACTACGTTCATCATTACATGAGATACTATATGCTATTATAATATGTTGATTTATCTATGTCGATGTTTTGTTTATATAGATTATTGCACATGATTGTACATGTATGTGTATACAAGAATATATTGATATATGTTGGTGTGTATAGCTTGTGATAGTTTACCAACCGGAGATACGCTGATTTAGAAATGATTTCCCTTCCCAGGCATCCAGACGTTGGCCAGTGAGCTCTTGATATTTCATCCAGAACGGGGTAACATTCGGGACCTGCTTCAGTTATGTTGCTAAATTTTGCTGCTAATCACCTCCTATCTCACCATAAGAATACTCATATAGCAGCTCTTTTTGCACCTACAAAAAGCAGCTGCCGAATTTCGTTGGACGTCACTGAGGAGACCGCAGCTTCACGTGGGATGGCTTCAGCCTCAACGTGTACATGGATTGTCATGTATATCCAGTGATAGAAAGGTAGCACAAGCCAATGCCTTGAATACTACTCATTAATATATATATATATATATATGTATATATATATATGTATGTATATATGTATATTATATAATAAGTATATATTATTGTCTATGAAATTCTATAGTTATAGTAAAAAAGGAGGTGTCCTAAAATAGGGCTACCCCCAAATCCTCCAGAGCTGAGGCTCCAGCTGCCAGTGCGGCTTCTTGGAGCTCGCCCCGCCTAGATGGATGGCTTTCCCACATTGTCCCATGGAAAAAGAGAAAAAATGTGGGTATACCCCATGGAAATCCATGGAAATCCATGGAACCTGAAAACATCATGCCATTTTTTTCGGGAAATTCGGGAAAATGTCGAAAACAGAATGATGTAATATGATGTATATAGACCCATATGGAGCTTTTAAGTCATGGATTGCCATGGTTGATTGCCGGAGGGTGATAGTTAATACCTTAATAACTCATGAGTAGTGGTATTCCCAAAATAAAAGTGGGGTTCAATAGAAATGGTCTAATGACGACTGGGTGGAGATATGATGATCGGGATAAGCAAAGTGGTGTCTTCAACTGGTGGATCCCCAAGTCACCATGGGGTTCAATACTATATAACATGGTCTAATTTTGGATAATTTGGGGTACCCCCACGATAGGAAGCCTGCAAATGGAGATACTGTGGATGGACAAAATCCTGCACCAATGGTATATTTATATCCCATTACCTTCCCATGATTTGCAGTATTTCATGGTTACCAATAGTTGCCAACTGGTGCAGGAGTTTGTCCATTCGCTGTATTCCCGGAGAAAACATGCGGACTCAACGTGATTCACCATCATTTAGTATGTGGGAATTAACCAACACAATACCAGGTTCCAAGAAAATGAATGAGGAATGTTCCACAAAATTGAATCATTTGGTCACCTTTACCTTTTCCACTGAAGACTTCCCGGCCACCCAAACAATGTTGAGGATGGAATCACAAGTGGTCCAATACCAATGAAATTAAAGAGGCAATGGCAATCCCACATTTCCCAAACACAAGAAGGTTTTGTCTCAAAATATGGGACCCGATTCTATGCTTAATCCTCATTTTATCACTTAAAAGTGGCGACAAATTGTGATACCCCTCCATTCTTCCACAAACCCAGCATCACCATCCCTTTTCCAAGCGTTGAAATGAAACTGCGTGCGCTTGCTGTGGCTCTTGCTGCGCAACCCGTGCTGCCATGCAAGAGACATTAACTGCATCTCCCCTGAGCCTGCGGCTCTCCAAGCGGCTCAGGGTCCGGCGGCTGTCGCCGATATTTGGCGCTGTCCCAATGCTGGGTGGCCCAAGAGATTCGAAATCAAAAGCTCAGCCGCATCAGCAGTTTGACTCCAACTCACAAGTGCGTTTTATGTGCCTTTCTGGAGGAGTATATCACCAAAACGCTTATCGCCTAATATTTTGAAGCAGAAATGTACCCCGCAGTTTTTGTCATCACTCAAGGCTGCGAACCGCTGGTGCAAGCTGCACAAATCTCAGCGCACTCGCATCGCTAGTGCCATTGGAATTGGCGCTGCAAACTTTCTCAGCTTGACCGAGCAAGCGGCTTAGTTTCTGAATGTGTCTGAACGCTAAGATACACAAGTACCACAAAAAAGAAAAGGTCATGGCGTGGTGAATGATGTTTTTGGATAGTCTTGATGGGTACCTGGGCAGACGTCTGGCCTCAGGTGGCCTTCTTGCTCTGCTTGGTCAAACCGAAGTCCAAAATTCCAAATCAATACCATGACCGATCAGGGAACTGACTTGGCGTGGTGCCCCACATTTGCTGCCAAAGTCGACTGGTCACCAAAGTGTACTGTTTTTTTCGAGTAGTAGTGCTGTTGGGACGAGTCAGTCCCAGAGCAGTCTGAACTTAAGCATCAAAGAGCTTCCGCTCAAAACTGTGAAGGCCATGCACGCCACCCTCCCGCTGAGCTGCTGCGGAACGCAACTCGAACCGCAGCTGTCCTCGCCTTGGGCACAACACAAGATATACAGTACCATCCTTCGTTGTTTGTGACTAGTAACGGGAGAAAATGTCGCAATGTACCAGTCCTGCACAGGCTGGCCCCCAACCCTAAATTTGGCAACCGGCAACAGCATCTGAGCAGCAGCTAAACCGCTGGGCATTCTTTCTCATCCTCCATTGTGACTTGTCGATAAATTTAGTGCAACCCTGCAAAAACAACCATTCAGTGTTCTTTGTGTCATGCCAAAATATGTCATATCCAATCTAGCCCCATTTGTGTGGATGGTGTACAGTGTTTTACATGTGTTTGTTGATTCTAACTAACAAGTAAGTATCACCAGAGTTGAACCGACCACCACTCGTATCATGTTGACCCTGGAGGAAGAACAAATGGTCACTACTAGTGCTACCTGGTACCTCAAAAAGTGACGAGCCACTCTGAGGACAGTGATTTGCTCCATCTTGACCCACTCAGCTCATCTATTGCGCTACTCACAAATCACAGCAGCAATCTATTGTGGGTCTGCGTATGGGTTTGACAAATGGGGTACACCATCTCATCCCATCGTTTGTCATCTCGTTCCCCACGAACGTGGCCATAACTTAGGGTTTAATCCCACCTATTTGAACCACCCATGTCATATTCTTGGTAATGTGTATCAGTGCATCCGATTACATCCCATCGTATCTCACTAAAATATACTAAAATTATATCTATTCCCATTGTATTCCGATATCCCATGTTGCTTTTATTTTTATACCATGCGAAAATCTGGAAAATCATATGTTCTGCTTCCTAGGTGCTGCAGCATGCTCTGCAGATCCTCAACGCTCTTTGCACCAATGTCCTGCTACTGCTAATGACGGGGCACTTCCCACGGGGTTCATGGGGATATATACTGGGTAAATTGGTAAATCATAGTGCCGTTCCCCATAGGTTAACTTCGGAAGGGATTCTACTTATTAGTACAAGCACCTATATTTACTTGGGGAGGGCTATCATATGACAGGCTGACTATTGGATAGTATGACCCCTCTTTTTAACCCGGGTGAAATGTACTAGATACAGTAGGGGCTCGTATGAAAAATCTTGGAACTTGCGATTCACCCTATGAGGACCTGGCCAGGACTGGCCCACAGATCTGTTGTGATTCTGTGGGAAACCCTGGCCATAAAGCAGTGAGGTCCTGCATCCCATGCCGGATCCCCTGCGTCAAGTACCTGGAGAGGGGGCCAACTGGCCAAATGATCACTGGGTTGGGGAAATTCAATGAATCATGGGGGGGATTATATGGGATTTAACTGACCAAAAGTGGTGTTTTAAGGGATTTATATAACCAATGCATAAGTGACAACTGGGTTGAGTTTCCAAATTGTCAGCCCATAGGAGGGCCCACCGTTCAGAATCTACATGCTCACGAGCTGTGTTTATCAATTGGTGAACCAATTTTTCAAGTGTGAGTTCAAATCACGAATTTGTGGATTTTGCAGGAGTCGGAATTTCCGGGCCAAGCGAGCCAGAAAAGTTACCACTCACCCGGGATCCAAAAGATACCATGGTAGGAGGGGTGTGCTAGGTCCTAGGTTGTGAAGGGTAAAATACTCTAGTGCCAGGTGCTACGTTTGTGTTTTGAACCTTTTGGTGGGGTTCTGTCCTCAAAATACGAGGCTCTTGCCCAGGGATATGCTTCCTGTGGATTCAGGTTGGATCCAGCACAGCACGAATGATGGAATCCAACCAATCAATGGCCATTTCAGGAACCGAAATTGGAGGCCTACCATATAGAAGGCCTATGTAAGGGCTATGTGATATGCACCCTAAAATATGGCTTTATAATGCTTTATATATATATAATCATATACATATAATAAAATATCTAATTTATATATAATTATGTATATATATATAACTAAATTATATATATATATAATTATATATTGGGAGGGGACTGTTGTGAGCGGTCAAAAATTGAGATATATATTTTTCTTGCAAATCTATTTTATAATGCCTTCCCCCTATTACTAACCCTCCCGAAGAATAAAAACTAGGGTCCATCTCCAATTTGGGAAAATTTGAGATTGGCCAATTTGACTTTTAATTGATCCCCTTTAGAAAACAATTTAAAAATAAAGCTACTATTTGTGGGTTTCACCCCCTGATAATGAAAACTAGTCAGCCCCGGGGTGTTTTTTATTAGGGGCCGTCCGAAAGTTTTAGTTTTTTATATCAGGGCTTTTATTTTTATATTGGGGTTTAGGGTCGCCAATAGTCCCTCACAACAAAATCCTCTATTGCTTGGGCAGTACAATGAAAAAAAACCATTGCTATGAGAACCTGATAGAATTGAACCATTTGAACCATGGGAGTTATGAGTGGAATTGGGTGACTGTCCGTTTGCCCAAAAGTTTACCCTAAAGTCACCTGGTCTGCCATCATTTTCCCTACATAAATCACCATATTTCCAGCGGCACGGGATGTATCGATGGATGCTGCCCTTATCCTGCACGGTGCCAGAGACTCCTTGGGCCACCTGGCCACTGCTCAACCGGGTCAAATGTTGGAGAATTTGGGGATAAATATTTTATATATATATATATGTGTGTGTGTAAAAAACAGAAAATCTATGAAAATCTAGGAATCTAGGATTTTGGTTAATTTGAGCCACGATACGGCAGCTTGGCCAAATGGTCATCGGATTCCTGCAAACAGGTATTCTATCTATCATTATCTACCTAAAGATCTATGAACTCTATGAACCAATAGAGATAGGAACCTGGATCAACAGTCCATGCTCTTACCAGTTCCTTACTTGATGTTTCATCAACATCTAAGCCGTCTCAATTTGGCTGCCCCATTTGGCCCGGATCCCATCATAGGGAAGATGATCCCCCACCTTGATGGCTGAGGTAGTTCCAAAGTATCGATCATCCGAGCCCTTCTTCATCGCATCAATGGAGCCCATGCCGCGGTAACGTTTCAAGCGCTTGCCATCCTCGACGAAGGGAGGCTCGGTGATGGCTGAGATGGGGGAAAAATTGGCTAGACACGTACTGTAATCGTAAGTGAGGTGAGGAGTCAACGAAAAGTATCTAGTCGGCTACGTCAACATTCTGAATATGTATATGTATATGTGTGTATGTGTATGTGCATGTGCATGTGCATGTGTATGTGTATGTATATATATATAAATACATATATTACTAGGAATGAAAAAACAATGAAACTTTGAAAAACACAAATCAACCACACGTAAAAGGAATCGATGATTGGGATCTAAACACGGCCCTCAGCCTTTTCAAGATTCTTTGCAGGCTACGGTCCCACCAATGACTCAGTCCTTTTGAATCTCGCAGATCTAGGTCCAATGGAAATCCAACACCCATGTTCAATCGTTCCCAGGTAATCCCAGAAGCCATCTCCATCTCCATCATCCCCATCATCCCCATCATCCCCATCATCCCCATCCCCCAACTTTCGAGCGTCCTCAGAGTAGAAGTACTCTCCAGGAGTCTCTGAGGTGCCAGCCAACAAGCTGCCGCACATGGCTGCGCCCGCCCCCAGACTCAGAGCCTTCACAATGTGGCCTGGGCTGCTGATGCCGCCATCGGCCAAGATGGGAACGCCATAGACGCTCCTGAGAAATCGCTTCGCCCGCAGCTCCCAACCAAAGAAGGCCCTTCTTGAGAGGTTGCTACTGAACCCCCATGAGCCCTTAGTAGGGGTCTCTTAAAGCCCTATTGTTTGGAGGGGTACGGGGGGAAGGATGCTTGAAAATGACTACATGACCATTGGTCAAATGTGAAACATGACTTCATCGTCATTCTGCTGACCCAAAAACCTAAGGGATCTCCAAACCTGGCAACGGATCAAACCCCTGGAATCCCCTTGAGTTGCGGAGGTTTATGATCCCATTCATATGGTATGAAAGGGTTTGACTCATCCCCTATCCAAAAGTCATATCCCCATTATGGTAGATTTGTTTGTGACTGTCATCACAGGCAAACACATTCCCCACCAAATATGTCGGAAACCCATCTTTGAGTGGCCAATACCCAAGTCTTGCACATTTTGCCTGGTAAAATCCAATATTCGAGCTGGCGTTCACTGGTGGTTTGCTTTCGTGATTTGCTCTTCTGTGAAATCAGCATGTATTTTTCTGATTCTATATGTTTACAAAAATTGATCATTCTGCTTCTGTGTTTGTAGAACTGTATACAAAAAATGGTGGAAACCAAGAAAAACAAAGCACGCTTTTTCGTACAAAGTGATGATGCCATTGTTATTTGAAAAGACAATTACTTTACTTCGAGTGATCTCCACCCTGACACTTATTTGTCATGGTTTCTGACATATCATCTTAAATGTATATGGTATAATCTTCTGACATTCTATTCTGGCATTCTATCTGGCATTCTATCTGACATTCTTTTCTGGCATTCTACCTGGCATCTATTCTGACATCCTATCTGGCATCCTTTGTAACATCTATACTGACTTTTCTCTGGCATTCTGATTCTATCTGGCATTTTTTCTGCCATATGTTCTCGCATACGTTCTGGGATGCTATCTGGCATTCTATCTGACATTCTTTTCTGGCATTCTATCTGGTATATCTTCAGGGATTCTTTGTGGTTGAGGTCTGGCGGGGAACACTCTGATCCGGAGCTCGCAGTTGAGGTCCGGCGGGGAACACTCTGATCCGGAGCTTGCGGTGGAGGCCCAGCGGGGAACACTGTGATCGAGAGGTTGCGATTGGGGTCCGGTGGGGAGGAACACTGCGATCTATAGAGCTTGCAGTTGAGGTCCGGCGAGGAGCGGAGGAAGGAGTAAGGAAGGAAGAGGGAGGAAGGAGGAGGCGAGCAGCCTGACGTAAAATCTAACAACCCTCACCTGACAGGTGGGGAAAAAAGAATGCTGATTTCACAGAACAGCAAACCACCAAAGTAAGCACCAACGAATGCCGGCTTGAAATATTTGGCACAATAAAACATATGTCATCCATCCCCTGAGATCCCTGAGCCAGGGCCAAGTCACGCGAGTTTGGCCACATTGTATACAGCGGAAGCCTGTGCTCGGCCGCAAGCGCAGACCTCCTGGGGATCAGGGATCAGGTCACGCTTTGATCATATAACATGTTGGAAAGATTAAGGATCAGGATTATTTCCATCCATTATGTTGGAAATGAACGTCGAAGGTCATTTTCATGGCAGGGATTATGATCTGTGTTGCCCAAAAAACAACATTTGAGTGTAATCCCATAGGAGATTGTAGGATGATTCGCATGACAAAACCTGGGACTGATTTGGATGCAGTAAGAAAAAAGTCTCTTTTCGGTGAATTGACGCCAGCAAGAGCGATTTGGAGGTCCTGTTCCACTGCACATAGACTCATAGACCCGTACCTTTGTTGGAGGGCACTAAATTAGGACCCACGCCCCACCACATCCCATGACCCCGCAGCCCGAAAACATCACCACAGCTCCTGAGTGGTACAAATGGATCCAATGCCCATCCCCACGCGCAGGGCATCAGCACCGCACTCGATCAAGTTCTTGGCTTGCTGTTTGGTGACCACATTGCCTGCCACCACCTCAATCTGTGGAAACTCCTTTTTGATCCACCTCACGCGGCGATTTTCCAGGAATGTCATTGGGGTTGTAGCAGCAAAAAGGCATCTATCGGCCTGGGAAAAGTTGAAAACGTCTCCAAATTGTCAGGCCAGTTCTGAGAGATATCAAAAAGTCGGATGAAGACTCACTACATTGGCATAAGTGATCCACCCTTGGAATTCCACTGGGTATGACCGAAAAACCAGTAGACGTGCAACCCATAGTAGGCATGCTTTCTTTAAGGTGGATGCGAATTTTGTAGGGTGAGCTGGCAAAACCTAAAAAATTATTCAATATATCTTTCCATTGCCAAAAAACGGGATGACTTTTCTGATTTTTTCCACTATTTAGTTTGGGGGATAGTTCTGTCCACCAGTCAAACAAATTCAATGGCGTTTTCTATATGTTGGATTGCGGTGGAAACTCGCGCTAGAAGCTTGACACCACTCCGCTCAATTTTCACCACGAACTCATAGGGCAAAGCATCATTTTATGTCGAACTCGTACATGCCAACGGTCAGGGTTTAAAGTTTAAGCCGTGCAGGGTCAATACCAAAACCGACTATATGCAACTAATTGCTCAGGTGGGTCAGAAAGTGGTGATACAACAATTCACCAGTGGATTGGCCAGTGGATTTGGTGGGTTTCCTAAGTCGTGGGGGTGCCCCCAAATCATCCAAGTCATGGATGACCATGACTTAGTATTGAACCAACCATGGTGACTTGGGTATCCACCATGACTTAAGAAACCTCCATATGGGCGTGTCTATATCTATACCCCAAAATAGTCCTTGTTAATGGGAAAATGAGGTTTTACGCTATCGGATTAAGTACCAGATTTCATTCACCCAACAGCAGAACCAATTAAACAGATTTAAACAGCAGATTTGGATGGATCAATTCAATATATTCCGCAGTTCATCTCAAACTCAATGCAAGTCATGGCGCTTGATCATCTCGTGTTGAAAGACGCTGTCGCCCTGGCTGCTGTCGATGATGACGGCGTCCACATAAGCGGCCGCCAGGGCGCGCACCCGCTCCCGGTCCGCCGGGCGGGTGCCGATGGCCGCGGCCACCAGTAGCTCTTTGTTCAACGGGTCCTTCGTGGCGTTGGGGAACTCCACGTTCTTCCTGGGAAATACCACGGTTTGGGACGCAAAACAAAGGATCTATAAATATATATATATGTATATGTATATGTATATGTGCATGCATGCATGCATGTCATCCATGCATGGATGTATGTATGAATGTATGAATATATGAATGTACCAGTAGTACCCGCACGAGGCGGGGCGGAAGTTGCCTTAAAGATATATATATATATAAGACCTTTCTCATCTATAGAACTTGCATGCGCCTTGCGGCAGGCAGGTGCGTGCGTGCGTGCTTTGTGCGAAGCTGTTGCAGTGTTGTTGTCCAAGATGACCTGCGCGACCCCGGTGCAATGCAACGGCAAGCGAAGACTTTCCTCACACTTCACACTGCGCTCTTCACACTTCACACTGGACACTTCATCTCATCTCAGATCATGTGAGCTCTTCTCACCTCATCTTACCTCATCTCAGCTCTTCTCATCTCATCCCATCGCCTCTCACATGTCATCTAAGAAAGTTCTTCTCAACTGTTTTCATCTCATCCGAGCACTGATCAACCTTTCTCATCTTGGGACATTCGCCATCCTCCCTTCATTGTGGTGGAATTTCCTTGACACTTGACTGAGTTTGCAAGGGGGGGCTCAAGTGACTCTGGCAGTGGCTTATCCCAATGAATTCTTCCATGTCACGATCTTGCTTTAGTTGTCGAAGGTTGCTTCAAACACCATGAGGTGGCACTAACTTTCATCACATGCAGTCAGATAGGTGGCAAGACAGCCAACAGGTTACTTCTACAGTAAAATCGACTCTACTATGACGTGTCCTTAGATCACAGGCTTTGAGCAGGGACTCTGACACAAGCTCATTGCTCCTCATTCGCCATGGATGCTGCAGCTGACACTCTTTTGAAAAGCTCGCCGCTGAAACACAGAAACGGCAGAGAGCTGAAATGCTATGCCAGCAAGCCTTGTTTCAGAAAGCGAAGGAGCTCGCAGTTGAAAAGGAAGCGCGCTAGGCTTCCGAGGACCTGTCTGCAAGCTTGCAAGAGCAATTGAGCGCCACGGCAAGGAAATGTGAGGAGCTGCTTCTTAAAAAAGAGAACCACAAAGCTTGTGATCAGGTTGCACGGTTGCAAGATATGCTAGAGACCTTGTTGGCGGAAAAGGACCAGTTAGAAGCAGAGTTTCAAAAGTTGAAACGTGTGGACCTCGCCGCTGAAACACAGAAACGGCAGAGAGCTGAAATGCTATGCCAGCAAACCTTGTTTCAGAAAGCGAAGGGGCTCGCAGTCCAAAAGGAGGCGCGCAAGGCTTCCGAGGACCTGTCTGCGAGCTTGCAAGAGCAATTGGGCGCCATGGCAAGGAAATGTGAGGAGCTGCGTTTTAAAAAAGAAAAACGTAAGAGCGCCGAAGAACTCTGTGCAACTTTGAGAGGGCATCAGTTGGCCACTCTGTTCCGAACAACTCAAAAGTTGGATGCTGAGAAAGCGTTGCGCAAAGCCGCTGAGGATCAAGTGGCAATCCTGCAAGATATGTTGTAGACCGTGACCATTGAGAAGGACGAGCTGCAAGCACAACTGCAGACGCAGAACAGCGGTTCTTTTCTCAGACGTGGTGTCTAATATAACATGGACGGTCACTGGGAAGAGTTCGCGCCTGAGGCGAATGAACAGATGCTCCAGGCATACCTCGACTATGTCAGAGAGATTCCTGGCACCCAATTTGTGACGATCAGCTCAGGTGGAGTGGAGCGTCAGGTGGATTTCAAATTGATGCAGCAGAAGCACCTAAGGACTAAAAAAAAACTCGCGGCATCCGTGCTTTACCTGGTGCTCCTCCCAATTGGGAATCTTCCAAGAAAAAATGCTGTTGGAGCACTTTTCACCAGCCATTCCCAGTTATTACGCATGCAGCCGCGGAACCAAAAAAAAAAACCTCACCGGCGCCAAAATTAAAATCTAGTGACAAATCACTGACGCAGCCTTGATGCAGCCATTCCAATACGATTTACGATGTTCAGCTGCAAAAGACAATAGTATTACGCATGCAGCCGCTGCACCAAGCAACCTTGACTCAGCCACTACAATGCGATCTGCAGAGACTGAGTTGCAAAACACAATAGAACTACGTGCAATGGCGTCGGAAATTGCAGCTCCAAAACCGGATCTCGACGCCAAAGCGACAAAAAGACGATTTTGAAGCACTTTTTAAAAGGAATTTTAAAAGGAAAATTACTACCGTGAAAATTGCGAAAATCTACTCGCAAATCACGATCGCAGCCTGGATGCAGCCACTCCAATACGATTTACGATGTTCAGCTGCAAAAGACAATAGTATTACGCATGCAGCCGCGGCACCGAGCAACCTTGACGCAGCCACTACAATGCGATCTGCAGACACTGAGTTGCAAAACACAAAAGAACTACGCGCAACAGTATCGGAAATGGAGCTCCAAAACCGGATCTCGACGCCAAAGCAGAAAAAAGACGATTTTGAAGCACTTGTTTAAAGGATTTTTAAAAGGATAATTTCTACCGTGAA